TCTTGCATGGTGTGATCTGTGGTCCTCTCGGCTTCCTCCATCGTAGCAATAACCGAGTTTTTCATGAGGACATTTGCATTAAACTCCTCCAAATCTTTCTTGGTCTTGGCCAATGTTGCCTTTAACTGAGAAGCTTCTGTCCCCAGTTTTGTTTTTTGCTCCTGCATCTGCGTCTTCAGCCTGTCTATGTAGCTGTTAGCGTCCTGTATCTGAGCGTTCAACAGGTCCATCGCCTCCTTGTTTCTGTCGAACATTGCCTGTTTCTCGTCTTGGTGTTTGGTGACGATCGACATATACTGGATGGTGTCTTCAGCATTTGCTTCTTTCAAGGCCTGGATCTCCTCCTGAGCCTTCTGCAGTTTTCCTGTGGTATCACTCAGAGCCTCTTGGAGATCTGTTTTCTCCTGGACAGTATCATCCAGTTGGCGTTGGGCAGACGTGGATCTTTCTGAAGCCTGCAGTAGAGCCGTCTCTAAGGCAGACCTCTCTGTCTGGAGCTGGATCACCTGCTGCTGCTGTTGGTGACTCTCTTCCTGATGAGTCTTCTCCAACTTGCTCCACTGTTGCGTCTCTCTCTTCACATCCTCCTTCAGACGCTGGTGTTGTCCCTCCAACATCATGAGGTAGGATTCAAGCTCTTCTATCAGCTTGTCCTTCTTTGAGTTTCTTCTTAAGCACGACATTTTGCTCCGTTGTGTTTCTTTCGGTAAATTTGGTCCGTTTTCTCCTGAAGTCAGAAATATGGGTCCTGTTTGGTGCTCTCTCCACACACAGACACTTGCACTGGGGATTTTGGAACTTTGATGATGTCACAAAGACCTTTATGTCATGTTGCCGTGACAATGGCTAATTCCTTTGGTTCTGGAATGCGGCAGGTTCAGTTACCATGGCAATTTTGGAACTCCTCATTGAAAATTCTATAAATTAATTATAAAAAGGATTATTATTCCAGCAATGTCTTAAACAATGTTAATTTTTCAAGACCCGATCATGATCCTTATCTTTACTTAAAATAAAATGTGCAGTGGACGAGCTCCCATGACGCTTTGCGCCAAATACGCGTGTGTGGCCCTGATGTACGTGCACAGAGGGGCTCGTCTTTGCTCTGACCAATCAGAGCTGCTGATCAGACCGGAGCTAGACCGGAGTCAGAGCGGGACCCGAATGAGAAGAGTTTGTAGCAGTAAAGTGTGGAGTTAAAGAAAACTGAAGGATTTAAGAAGAGAAAAAGTTCAGGTTGACATTGGACACAAAAATTCCCACAAAAACAACCTTTATGAACGCTGTAGGTTCTCTGTCAGGTTCTATGGGGAACATTTCTGAGTATCCCACGTGAATTTAGTCTGGTTTAGTCTGCAGTACCGCGAGAATCCCCCGAGCACATGGATTTAGAAATAAAGTTTTAGTACCATTTTATATTAGAAGAGAACTAGGATTCAACATCGATTGTTTTTATTAAAGACCATAGCAACGTCCTTAGACACACAAACAAAGATGACACACAAACAAAGATGGCGCCTCGTACGGTCGACATGGCTCTTTGCTGCTCTCTTTCTTTTGTTTTTACTTTTTAACTGCGCATCTGGCTGTTCCTACACCCGTGAGGAACTTATGAACATCCGACCCACCGTCCCCATGGACCTATTGCCTGTTTTCTTGGCATCTGCGGCTGATTTAGTCCATGTTCTAGCCAAAAAAGTGTGGGCCCGTAAAAGGGGAAAGCGCGGAGGCCTGCTCGTGCGTCTTAGGAGGAGAGGAGCGCGCACGGCTCTCCCCGGCATTTTTCTCTCCAACGTACGCTCACTGGGCAATAAGATGGACGAACTCAGCCTGCTCATGAGAAGAAACAAGGAAACTTCGCCACATCCTGTGTCCTCTGCTTCACTGAGACCTGGCTAAATGAGCGGATCCCGGACTGCGCTCTGGAGCTGCAGGGCTTTGGGCTGTTCAGCGCGGATCGCCACTGTGCGCTCTCAGGGAAGAGCAGAGGCGGTGGGCTGTGTTTCTACGTCAATACAAACTGGTGTAACGATGTGACAGTGATCTCCAAGCACTGTTATCCTGCTCTGGAATATCTTTTCATTCATTGTAAACCATTTTACTCCCCTCGTGAAATTGTTTCATTCATTCTTGCCTCTGTTTACATACCGCCATGCGCGGACGCGCGCGAGGCTCAGCGCGCACTCGCAGAGCAAGTATTGTGTATGGAACGTTTATACCCGGACTCTCTGATTATTATCCTGGGGGATTTTAACAAGGGAAACTTGAGCCAGGAATTACCCAAATACAGACAGTTTATAAAATGCCCGACCAGAGAGGAGAACACTCTGGATCACTGCTACACCACTGTGCGTGAAGCTTTTCGCGCTGTTCCCAAGGCAGCCCTCGGCTTCTCAGATCACTCCATGATACATCTGGTTCCTGCTTACAGACAGAGACTAAAGCTCTCGAAACCTGCAGTGAGGAGCTCCAAAGTGTGGTCTGATGAAGCTGTGGAAGAGCTGCGCACATGCATGGAATCTACAGACTGGAACCTTTTCAGAGCTGCCACAGATAGTTTGGATGAATACACGGACACTGTGACGTCCCGGCACAGAGAACGACTACAGGAGCAGTTTGGTAACAACGATACTGCTTCTGTCTGGAGGGGCCTACGGGAGATCACCAACTACAAGCCCAAAGCCCCCCCCCCCTGTGCTGACGACCACAAGCTAGCTGACAAACTGAACTTATTTTTCAGTCGCTTTGATGCTGCCCCTGACACCTCTCCCTCCCCCACCCCCCACTACTCTAACGACCCACCCATCAGCCCTGCTCCCAGCCTGACAATAGCCTCTAAAGATATTCAACAACTCTTCTTGAGGCTGCACCCCCGCAAAGCTCCTGTCTCCGGCCACTCTGAGACACTGCGCCAGTGAGCTTACTCTTGTGTTCACTGACATTTTCAACACCTCTCTGCAATCCTGCCATGTCCCGGCCTGCTTCAAATCCTCCATCATTGTCCCCGTCCAGAAGAAGCCCAGGATCACAGGACTCAACGACTACAGACCTGTAGCACTTACGTCTGTCGTCGTGAAGTCATTTGAACGCCTGGTCCTCTCCCATCTCAAGTCCCTCACCTCCCCCCTCCTGGACCCCCTGCAGTTCGCCTACAGAGCCAACAGATCTGTAGACGACACCATCAACCTGGCCCTCCACCATATCTTACAGCACCTGGACTCCCCGGGGACCTACGCCAGGGTCCTGTTCGTGGACTTCAGCTCTGCCTTCAACACAATCCTGCCATCCCTGCTCCAGGACAAGCTCTCCAAGCTCAACGTGCCCGATTCCACCTGCAGGTGGATCACTGACTTCCTGACGGACAGGAAGCAGCGAATGCGTCTGGGGAAGAATGTCTCGGACTCTCGGATTATAAATACAGGAGCCCCACAGGGCTGTGTTCTTTCTCCCCTGCTCTTCTCCCTGTACACCAACCACTGCACCTCCAGCCACGACTCTGTGAAGCTGATCAAGTTCGCGGACGACACCACCCTCATTGGACTCATCTCCAACAACGATGAGTCCGCCTACAGGAGGGAGGTGGACCGACTGGTGTCCTGGTGCAGTGGTAAAAACCTAGAGCTGAACGCCCAGAAGACAATGGAGATGATTGTGGACTTCAGGAAGAGCACTGTCCCCCCGCCCCCACCCTCCGTGATGGACTCCCCCATCACCTCTGTGGAGTCCTTCCGTTTCCTGGGCACCACCATCACCCAGGACCTCAAGTGAGAGCCGACCATCAGCTCCCTCATCAAGAAGGCCCAGCAGAGGATGTACTGCCTGCGGCATCTCAGGAAAGCCAAGCTGCCTGCACAGATGTTGGTGCAGTTCCACACGGCCATCATCGAGTCCATCCTCACCTCCTCAATCACCGTGGGGTTCGCTGGAGCCACAGTCAGGGACAAACAGAGACTACAGCGCATTGTGCGCTCTGCAGAGGAAGTGATTGGCCGCAGCCTTCCATCGCTGCAGGACCTGTACGTCGCCCGAGCTCAAAGCCAGGCTGGTCGTATCACAGCCGACTCCTCTCACCCTGCACATGGACTATTCCAACCACTCCCCTCAGGCAGGAGACTGCGGTCCATCAGGACTAGAACCTCCCGCCACAAGAACAGTTTCTTCCCCTCTGCTGTTGGACTCTTGAACACTTCTTAACCTGTCCCCCCGCCCTTTATAAAGTCACTTTACTGCCCATCATACGTCACTTTACTTCACTGTACTGCTGTCACCTTACATTGTGTGCACCATGTGCACTTGTATATTGTAAATAGTAACTGTAACTCTATTTTAAATTTAAATTTATTCTTTAGAAGTGTTTTTTATTCTTTATTTTTATTATCTCTTTCTGACTGTTGCACTGAGCCAAAGCAATTTCCAAGTCTGTAACTTCCTGTTACTTACGTGGCAATAAAAATGATTCTGATTCTGATTAATTTCACTCCCTGAACATGCATGAAAAGTTGTAAAATTTTGCCCAAACATCAGACCTGGTGAAAAATTTGATATTTTGGTGTTTATTTATATGGGACTCAAAAAATGCCAGAACAGGGCCACCTACAACAGCCAATGGGAGTTTCAGAGGTCAAGTTGGTCGTAGAGCCATGAAATTCGGTACACATGTTCCTCAAGTCAAGATAAGACCAAAATGTTATCATGGCTCCGCCCTCTGACAAACAGGAAGCCCATAAATTTCACTACAAAATGGAAAAATGATCCGCAATAGTTTTCATACATTCAATTAAATTCTTTTATTTACAAAACTTGTAGCCATATTGGTTATACACTTTTACAATGTAGCGTTGGTTGGTGTTTTGTAAAAAGGGAACTCCCAGGAAGCTGCATTAGCTTATAGACGGGGCCCCTAAAATAACACATGATACACACAACACATAAAACAACACAGCAGAAACAAGTGTAACATTCCATACTACTACACAATCCCAAACCCACTTACAAACACCTCACAGATCCGCTTGGTGCGGGGCGGCGTGGTGCAGATCCGCTTGGTGCAGGGCGGCTTGATGCGGGGCGGCTTGGTGCGGGGCGGCTTGATGCGGGGCGGCTTGGTGCGGGGCGGCTTGATGCGGGGCGGCTTGATGCGGGGCGGCTTGGTACGGGGTGGTGCGCGCGGTGCGGCGAGGGCCGTTTGACGCCGCTTGCGGCTTTAATTCTATTTTGCATTTAATAATCTCCAAAGATATTCCCATGATTATGTTGCTGTAAATCCCAAAATGTGAATGTGATATCATGACCCAGAGTTCTGTAGGCAATATGTAAATTACAGACTGACAAATCTCATTTAATTAATGGTATTGTTTTAAGACACCACATATATAACTCCTCTGTCTTCCTCAATCTGTTAATAATCTGAGCCATAAAATGAATAGTCAACTTAATTGAACAAGCATTAAGCCATCAGCAGGAAATCAAAAGTGTATTACTTTAAGATGAAGAGTCTCAACTGTATTTGAGGTCAAATATATTTGACATATTTTTTTACCTGAGCAGACCTTGCAGAGCCAAATAGCAGAGCGGGACCGGGTTGCATGTGGGACCACCCAGGCTGTTCAACATCTCGACCACAAGAACACGTCCGGCATCAGTGACCTGAGGGGACGAGTCGCCAGGTAAGTTTTATTATACAGAAATATTACAGTATTTAGTCCTTTAGTACAGAAAACCATCAAAAGTAATACCGTAATAGAATAATAAAAGATATTATTACTATTTTACACATCTGTTAACTCTCTAGTAATAGATTGCATTAGACCAGATGTATCTGATTTCTGTCCTCCATCAAATGTGAATGCTTGTGTTTTTGTGCATTTTGAAATTAACCCGAAAACATTAAATACTAATTTGTCAAATACATTTTGCAATTAATGGTAATTTGCTAAAACTGATCAGCAACAGAATAACTACTTAGAGAAAGCCTGTTGCAAAAATCTTGACATTAGTTGCACCATGTCTTATGCGGCCCTAAATGTTGGTTGTGTTTGTAAAAGGTTCCCATTGTTCTACAAATGTCTTACTGTGCTGTACCTTGTCCTGGTGTATCTTGTGTTGTCTCGTCTCCAGGTGTGATGGGAGCCTGTCCAGGCTGAGCGCTGAAGTGACAGGGCTGCAGCAGGAGGTGACCCATCTCCGATCCGCTCTGGATGTCATGATCCAAAAGGCGCCTGTCCAGGTGCAATTTAATTGGATAAATTATTAAAAAGCAGTTGAGGTAAATTGTGTTACTTAAAGATGTCACAATGTGCCACATGGAATCATGAGTCATGTGTCCACTGTCACTTTACTTAGCCTATGTGCCCCATACACTCATGCTGCTAACATGTGCAGCATAGTTGTATACATACAACTGTGTATTCCTTGCAATAGAATATAAAGTACTTATACTTGCTTCTTTATCATGCTAAAGTTAGAGATTTTATACTTACTTCTATATCTTGTGTGCACCTCATTCCTACTGTTCTGAAAAAGTTACTTTCAAAATAACCTACATTTCAAAAACTGAAATAATTAAGTAACTATTATACTGTCATGTCAATCAATACCCCATTATTATTTAAAAAACATTATATATATATATATACTGTATGTATATATATTTCAGTATTTCAAATATGGAGCTCAAAATGTATGATTTGATTAGTAAAAACAAAATGACTTGGGTATTGACATTTTTGGAAAACTCTTAAACAGACACATTCGCTGGTACTGTACACAAAGTGTGACTACAATTACTACTGTGCATTTAATAGTCACCACACACTAAGAGTACTGGGCTGGCACTTCCACTCTCAGAGAAGTAAATCACAAGGCAGCACATTAACTTTGGAGCAGTGGTCAAGCATGGGCCATAAAGATAATTGAAAATGCAGGGAAAGTGGAGCAGAGCTAGATGTGGAGTAGAACAGGAGGCGGATAAGCCCGACTCAGCACAAATTGTGTATGGGTCACGTTACAGATACATTTATAAAAAGTATTAACAGTATTAAATTACATTATGTTGTCTGTTTGCTTATGTCCAGCAGCGTGACCTTGGGCGATTAGAGGCGTCTTTAGCAGAAATGAACCGGACTCAAAGGAGCTTCATGTCTGAGGTGCAAACCCAAGTTGGAAAAGTGCAAAACCAGTAAGGCAATATTTTTCATCATCATTTAAACGTGAATCAATTTCTCGTCCAGCCCTATTTTAGGCTACAATACATGTTACGAAAGTAGGCCAGGGCCACTTTTGGGGATAGCCAGAGCTGGTTCAAGTGGTGGGGGGCAAAAGGGTAATTTCAGCAATGTCAGTTAAATCATTCTATAAACCAATTGTGAAAATTCAGGCTGTAAAACCACCAGAAATCAATATTTATATTCAATATCATATGAGGTACAATACAAGCATAGCCATAACATCCCCTTGGCAACAAACAGGAGGTGGAGCCCATAAGAAAAGTAGGCTACTGCACCTTTAGGATAAGATATATAGTAATAATAGTTAATGAGGCTTCTTGCAGATTGGTGTGTTCATCAGTTTGTCACGTTATGGTAAAAACGCTGAGTGTGCAAGACATTTCCTGACCTCTTCTCATTAATGTTGTCAAGCTAAAAAGCAAAGTCATAAATGTGTTACTACATTGTGAATACATTAAAAGCCAATTTTTTAAATGGAAGTTTCTCTTTCCCTGTAACCTCTGTGCTCTACAGACTGTCACCCGAGATTATGGAGATTGTGAAGCAGTGCAAAATGCTAAAGAAGTGGACAGAACAACAGATTCAGCACTGTCTGCACTCATTTGAGCAAAGCCACCGACAACTGCAGGACAACATGGTTCATTTTTGTCATTTTAACACAAACACGTGCTAATAGATGCTTACTAAGTATTTTCCTGTTGACATGTAGGCTTTATACTTTAAAATGTAAGGTCTATGTATGACTCAATATTGTACTATTTTCATAATTAAGATCCTTAAGGGACAATTGCGATAAAGCTGGGGTAAACTTTCAAACCACAAAAAGGGAGCTATTTAATAAAATCCTTCTGACACTTGTTTCACATGCATGCCTTTGTCACATCTTTAGATCAGCTTTTTCAGGCAGAAAAGTGAAAAAGAGAGGACCACACTTGTTAAGACAATCCGCTCTGTGCCCTAAAATATGCAAAAGGTGTTTTCTAATAAGATGAAGATGGTATTTTTATGCAGGTGATCTTACAAAACTATTTCTGTTTGGACAAACATCATGTATTATTGATTGAAAAAACAGTTAGGTAAACCCCAGCTTTAAGAATGTAGTGAAATTATGTTTTGTGGCCATGATCACATCGGTAAGGTTGTTTGGTAAAGTCTTTGCAGAGCGAACAAAGGAACAAATGTATCTGTGTCTATCAGGATGGATTACTCAACAGACAGAGTGCCCTTGACACTGGTCTGAAGGAGCAGAGAAGTCACCAGGAGCAGTGTGTGGGCACTCAGGCTGCTCGGCTGAGACACATGGAGGCCAAACTCAACAACAAGATGGACTCACTGGAGAAAAGCCTCCATCATGAGCTGCAGCTGCTCAAACACAACTACCACAAAGGTCTGTCCGCCACATACTGTCAAGCGAGAGCAAACACACTACATTTATCTACCCAAACATATACACGAGAAAACTGCACCCACAACATAAAGGCTCCAGTCTACTCATGGATATTATTATGTATTAATGACAAAATGCTATAATGTGAACTCATGCCTCTGATTTACTATTGGTAATATGATTATTATTCTTGGTTATTATCATAAAAAGGCTATTTTTTTATATGACTTTCAAGACATTTGTGTCTTGAAAGTCATATAATACTTGTGTTACCAGTGTTATAGGACTATCATACTTTAATGACCATGTAGAACCCTACCCTCAATAATATAATGTATCAGACATATTCATCCCTGTTTCCACACAACCTATAACAAATAATATCACAGTTCACTTCCCCAGTGGAGTGGAGCTCGCCCTGCGTTTGGTTTCAGCACTAACAAATTATTTGCATTCAAATTGGACTATATTGTACACTCTATTCCCTTCTTGACCCCACAATCCTAGGCTGATTAGTTGAAAAATTAGATATGCATGAGATGAGTTATGTTTTCATTATATAGCTAATGCAGATGATAAAGCAGAGGCTCATAGCAGAAAGTACATTACACTGCTCGGCATCCAGAGCTGAAAACTGAGCAGTCATCTCAACGTCATAGCAGTAGATCTCAGTCTGCATATGAGCAGGCCACAGGCTGTCACTGAGCGAGCAAAGCCACAATGACTGTAGATCAACCCTCAGCTAAAACTCATTCAGAGCCCTGCATGCCTCACACCACTCTAAGAGATTTTATAAATATTCAACAACATAGAACACAACAATAAATAATATGTAATTGGCCCAGATGCCCTCCTGTGCTGAATTACAGAGAAGTATGATGCAATTGAATTAGAATGAAACCTAATAAGTTTATCAGTCAAACTCACAGACACGTTATACACTGACCATTTCGTGTTTTTCTTCTTCAGGGTTCAGGTCCGTGCACGATGCCATCGAGACACTTAAAGAAATAACAGACCTCAAGTCTCGCCTAGACAAAGGGCACATTAAAAAGGAACTTGGGCACATTTATAGCAACGTAAGATGTGATTCTTAAACGTTACCTTTGACTTTATCTTCCTGTGTTAAACGTGTGTATTAGTTATGTATGAGTTAGCTGGAGTGCCGCAAACTGGAAAACAGGAGCGACACTGCCCTCTGGTGGCACAAATATGTACAACCTACAGCACAGGGATCAGAGGTGGCAAATCTTTGGTAGTGTAGTGGGTAAAAGTGTAGATAAAGCAATAAGTGACAGAGAAATGTTTTTGTCTGACATATTTTAAACTGTGATGTAAAACTGTTCTACTGGCCAGACTGTGAAACGTTCCTCTCACTGACCGTAAACCGATACCTTCAACAGACGTCTGGGGCTGAAAATAGAGAAAAGTTGTCCACTTGTTTAATGAATTGTATATTTGATTAATTGGGTATTGGTCTTGCTATAAAACCAAAGAACTGCATCTTATCGGTTCAATGTAACTGTAATGTCCATATCAAATAAATACATTTATATTATAACTTATCCAAACTTTACTGATCATCTAGAGTCTAGACCATATATAACAGTCTATGGGCTAATTTTACTTAGGAGCATGGCCAATCACTTCTACCTTGTTTATATGTTGCACATAACAGTAACTTATCATTCTAAAATGTAAGGAGTAGAAAGTACAGTACAGATATACAAGTTAGATTGTTATGTTATTGTATGTATTTTCCAATGTTATGTGTAAAATGTTATGTATTGTTTCTGTCATATATGACGTGCGTGTTCAGAGGGGCCGATGGCACATACTGGTTTCCTCACTTCTGTCAGTGTGCCCCAGTGGTATTTTACCACTACCGTGTATGGAGTGAAATAATAATGACATTTTAAGCATATGAGTGTCCTGAAAAGTGCTATATAAAAAAAATGCATTATTATGTGTATTACTGATACCATAAATAAAAATGTATTATCATTAATAGAACGAAATAATGTAAAAAGTTTAAACAAAAGAGAAAATGACCTGAAGCATTTGGAGGCCAAAGGAAAGGTTTTTGAGTTAACTACAACAAACATACAAGTTCTAAAAGCAACTTTAATCCTTGGCGTCACAGCATTCACAAGATTGTGTAATCATTTTGTAAACAACAAAACATGTGTGATCACATACATAAAAGATAATCATTTGGTGTATAGTTGATTTGATTTATTTATTATCTTCATATTTCCATAAAATCAATCAGATTTTAAAATAATAAAAATAACACTGTAAGGTGGTGTTGAAAGAGGGTAACACATCCCATAATTCTGTGCTCTCAGGGAAAGGTTGCCATCTTCTAAACTTCAAACTCTGTCACACAATAACATCTGTGCAAACTCCCACTTGCAGTAAACCATCAATAAGTATGTTACAAAAATTGTGCAACTGCTGTCTATTCATCAGATATTTAAAATGTGACTTCTCTCATGACTGACTTGACTGAATACAAGTTTTAAAAACATTCTTTTACCACAAATCATTTCACTTTCCATTTCGGTTTGCTGTTCCTTCCAAAATAGTGATGCAATTCAACAAAGCCATTGACTGACTGTAAACATAAAAACGGTAAAAAAGAAAAACAGAATAAAATAAAAATTGAAATAAATGGTGTGGTAAAAAGGAGACAGCTTCAGGTTTGAAGTACACACAAGAGAAATTTACGGCTTAAAATCACTTGAATTCAAAATTTTGTATCATAATTTAGGATTGATCCGACATTTAGTCAATTAGTCAATAAAAATATATACAATATACAATAGAAACGGGAATAAAGTTCTCACGCCACACCATAGTGTGAGAAATTCCTGGCCACTTAATAACGTGGTGAATAGGAAGAAACTCATTAAAATGGAGCCAAAAACACTAAAATGAAGATAATAAAAAGTTAAAGTGATAATAAAATAAAGTTGTTTGCAGTGAGCATTGCTTAAAAAGTCCATATCTTTGGGGCGTTCAGGTGCAGCAGGAAAACTGAGGCTTCTTTCCCGGAGCGTCCAGACTTGGCAGAGACTGGTGTCGGGTGATTTCAACACTAGTGTGGTACTTTCGGACCTGCCTGTGGACAATATAGAGACATTCAAACATCCATGGATCACTGTGTGTGGTTTTACATTAGAATAATAAACATGACAAGATTTTGACTATTTGAAATATATGAAACTCCAAGTAATCACAATTTGAAACATAATTTCTTCTCCGAATCTCATCAAGAAATATCCAAGACAAACTTGTTAGGTCCCATTTTTTGTAATCCACAAGAGGGCAGTAAAGCCCCCTCTGTATTACAACTCATGATGGTGAAAAAGAAACACATATTTACCTGGCCAGATGCAGAACGGCCTCCAGGACGTTGGAGCCGTCTTTAGCGCTTGTCTCACAGAACAGAGTGTTGTACGTCTGAAAGCAGAGTTTACTTATTGTCTGCTACAGCAAAGTTTTATGTGTTTCTATACATGTATGATCTCTAATACTTTCTACAAAGTCAAAGCTCTGTATGCATTTCTATATATCTATATCGAGAGCGAGAGAGAGAGAGAGAGATTGCCTGAATATAATAATATGTTGCTGGTTTGTCACCATAGAGAGCTTCTCGCCGTAGCTGCTGGACACACAGGTGAGGCCTTCCTGTCTCAGGTCACATTTGTTTCCTACAAGCATTATGGGGATGTCCTCTGGAGAGATGTCCTGCCATAGAGAAGGAACAATCTCATGTTTAATACTTTACAATAAGGTTACAATACGTTACAATACAAACAATGAAAACACATTGTGCAATCATTTCACATCTTATTTATCATCTACAGAAATAAAATGAGCAAATCAAGCAGTCAATGAAACTAGTAACATTCAAATAAATGAAAATAAAACAATGAGAAGGAGCTAACTGGGATAGTGTAACTGGGTACATTGTTTGTTAAAAAACTATTCAACTTGATTTCCTCGAGAGCCGCATTTTTCTGGGCGGATAAAAAGCTAGACAATTAAACTATGAGCATATGTTTTTTGTTTTTGTTTAATGAAAAAACAAAAACAGATTACAACTATGGACAATGAACAGAGAGGAGATAATTAACATGACTTATAGAGAGGCTTGGCGGAAACAGCCATAAATGCTCAGAATAAACAAATTATTGGTGAATGACACAAACAAGGTAGACCCAAGTTTCACAACTAAAACACACACAACATGAATTATTATTTGGAAATAAACTTACTTCTGTGCTGCATGTAAAGAAAATGGTATTACAAAAGTTAAGGATTACATTACAAACTTATTTTTTCAGTAATCCCTTTGTCGTTACCTCTATGACGTCAACCCATTCGCGCACATTGAGGAAGCTTTTCTCACAGCTCACGTCGTACAGCAGCAGGACTCCATCTGCGCGGCGGAAATATGATTTGGCGATGCTCCGAAACCTGGAGAGAATTCAACAAGTGATTATTAAGTTCCGTTCAAAATAAGTGTGTTTATAGCCCACCTCTCCTGCCCCGCAGTGTCCCATATCTGAAGCAATGTGGGCTCTCCATCCACAACTAAGGTTTTCATTTGAAAGTCCACACCTGCAAGAAAGAAAAATACACATATTTTTGAATGAAGAACGATTACAAAAGTTTTCTCACGGTTAAATTATATAGATATGTATCCGTTATTATGTGGTATTTCATTGTTCTCGGCCCAGTTGGAGCTCATATCAATCAATTAACTTTTTTTCATAGAGTGCCTTTACTACACAAGGCAACACAAAGCGCCTCACAACCCAAATCACATCAAGCATAAATTATAAACATTAAAATCATACTTGAGCTAAAATTACTCTTATTAGCCCGAGTCCTAGATCTATAACCCATACGTCCGTAGGAGTGAATCCCTCTCTCAATGTGGGCCTCCTCAAGGTTTCTCATTCTTTCCCATTGTTGTTTTTTTTTTTCCCACAATGCAGGAGGATCTACGGGCATTAATGATCATGACACATTTATGGAATCGTATGGACATTGGTCATCTGCCCCATGAACCAATGTTTGTTATTATAGTATTTTCTATGTGCAAAGTCCTCGACTGCTGTTGTGATTTAGGACTATACAAACATGAATGTAATTAGATGGAATTGTTGTAAAGGAGCTACTGAGGGCGACAGTAGCTCAGAGGGCGACAGTAGCTCAGTTGGTAGAGCATTGGCCTTTGGGCCTGAAGGTCGTGGGTTCGAGCCCACCATAAGACCTACTTCACGACTCCCACTGATGACTGCTGTCCTTGGGCAAGACACTTAACCCCACTTTGCCCAAAGCCCCAACTGAAAGATCTCAGCTCCTGTGGACTCACCACCTGCAGGAGGATCAGTGAGGGGCTGGTGCTCTGTGAACTGGGTGCAGCTCTGACTGCCACCCCCCCGACCCAGAAATGGATTAAGGGGAAGAAAATGGATGGATGGATGTTGTAAAGGAAGGATATACTTTTATTTTTGTGTCACAATTTATTCCAAAAAATTGCAACAGCAAATTGGCAATGTGCTTAACGGAGGGTAGGAAAAATCAGACCAATTACAGAAAATAAAATTACATGTATGAGTTTGAGTAAAGTCAGTATGAAAAAGTAATTATACGGATTTTCACAGCAAATATTCTAGGGCGGCACAATTATTTTGCACTAACAATTATTATAGACTCTGAGTTTTCCTTCTTACCTTTGATTAAATCGTGTTTTCTATTAACATTGATCACTGCAAAATGGACATACATTTCTGGAAACAAAAACTGTAACCAAAGATTTTTTTGTAATTGATGAACTCAGCCCCAATACATTTTGATCCACACAAAGACCTAAAGACCGAGACTTTTGATATCTCCTGCTCTGATACCTTTTCCTGATGCAAGAACACGTATAACACTGCCTTTGAAATCTATGCTATACATTATGAAAAATGTATAGTCTCCAAATTTAGGATTTTCAAATATCAAATTAAATGCAGAATAGCTGTCATATTAAAAACAAACTTGCTCATGTAATTTTCAGCATTAGAATCACATCTAAAGATTAGGCATTTTGATCGCGATAATCTTGATGATTAATTTTGTCAGTGAGATTATTACACTTGTGCTTTTATTGCCCCGAACCCGCTCCTACCCAACGTGGCGCCAGAGTGGGTCTTGAACTCGTTCTTGCAGAGACGGAGCAGGAAGCTGGACTTTCCCACCGCAGCATCTCCGGCCAACACGATCCTGAAGGCCTTCTCGGACGTCATGTAGCCCAGGTCCGCACTGTCCATCTCCTCCTTCTGTGAGCAGTAACAGCAACATGTTTTTAATAAGCTTTTGTCTTACTAAAGTGTAACCCACGTCACAAACGCACCCACTTCCGGTTTTAATTTGGGGTTCTTGTGGGTTCTTCTGTCATGACTTCGTTAAATGTCTTATATTTTAAAGTACCTCAGGGGTAGGTCAGAATTGTGTGGTTAACGTAAACATTAAACCTTGGTGGTGCTTTGCTTACCACCACTGTGTAATTTTATATGTATAGATGAGTTGAATAGATTAATGAAGAAATCAGCTGAAAAAAAATCTTTCTTTCCTCTTTCTTTTTGTGTCATCATTATGCAGCTGAGTATGAGTAAAATAATAAAACATGGGAAAAATGGAGAGAGCCAGGTCTATGAGAAAGCACTGCAGAAAGACTAATTGATCTATGAATGCATAACTAAATGGGGTTTCTTTTAAATATGAATGGATTCTATTTAGAGTCTAATTCAATCACATAAAGAACAACTCCATAACAATCCTTTGGGGTATTAGACCATTTATGACACTAGAGGGAGCTAGGTTTCTGCATCTCTATCAACACTACTCTCATTCATCACCAGGAAACCAATCTCATATCCTCTAGAAAGAAGTTAGTTGTTCCTGGTGGTGATGATGACAAAAACAAATCAAATTTGCATCTTCAATATTTCAATACTTCATAGACTGGTACTCTGCCTCATCTACTCTGTGACTGTGGAAAGTATGTACTCTTATCACATTCTACAGTATATTCACAACACTAAAATGTGATGAAGGTGAATATAAAGTATAGCAAAAACCAAACACAAGGCAATCCAAAGTGCATCACAAAACATTTGAAACACAATACAACATAATAATAATAATAATAATATAATAATAATCTTAGATTGCAATTGTAATTAATGATGTATTGATGAATAGATTGCAATTGGAAACAAATATAAAAGCTAATAAGATTAAAGCAAGACAAAAACAAATCTATATATTATACAACATAATAATTGTCTAACTTGTTCATAACATACCTCTGGACCCGTATTCAATCTGCACTGTTAATTATCTATTGCATGTATTTATATAATAGCATTTATGACGATCTTTATAACTATTCTTTTTTGTGTTTTGTGTTTTTTTTTTATTTTTTTTTTATGATTTTCTTTTGTCTTATTTGCATCTGTTTTGCTGTATCTGTCCTTGTGAAATCTTGAGGACCCCCTCGAAAACGAGATGATTCATCTCAAGGGGCTTATCCTCTAAATAAATAAATAAATAAATAAATAACTATTCATTCTCCCTTGTCTACAACATATACCAAATCAAATTCCTAGTTTGTGAAATCCTGTTGCTTCCATTCTGATTCTAATTCTATTTTTTTTTCCAGTGTTACTGTTCTAATGTGGATGTCTTTGCCAGCCCATGAAAAAGAATGAGGGCTCTATCTTGGTTTATCAAATGTAATGTATGCGCTTTATAGCATTAGGGCTAAAACCTCCAGCAGATACAGACTCTTCAGTTAGGCCAACCTGCAGTCCAAAGAATTTAAATTGAACTTTTCTTGAACACTCTGCTTCACGTGAACAAGGAATATTACATTGTGTGTTAAGCCTAGCGTACATCGACAGAGTAACTGGAGACAACTAGTTGAAGGCGGCTTTTGGCGACTGAGAGTAGATGATGGAGATGATCAGTTGCCGAAATCGGTCGATGTGAGCGCTCTTACAACTGGAGATAAACAGTCGATCTCCAGTTTCAGTCAGTTGCCCGTGTTCTACTTTTCGGCATCTAGTTGTCCTCAGATCCGGGGATGTCACCCGATGTGCGCGCTCCAACATGTGTGTATTGCGTGTATATATGCGCGCCCTCTACAGTTTATGCCAGAAAACACACTGTAGTTGAGGCCAGTTGCTGTCGATACGAGGCTGTTATTCTCAGACTGGTCTACTACTGGGAGTTGCCCGTTTTTGCCAGAATGTCGATGTGTGCGGGGCAGCAACTCATAGGCAACGGTCCGTCAGTTGCCAGTCCGATGTACGCTAGGCATTAACCAAAACTATCAAAACATTCCCTAAATATCATTCCAACATTGACTGCTCCTTGTGCAAAGTGTCCATCAAGGGGAATTAAAATGTGTTTCTGTGTGTAATATTGGATGTATGTTTGTATCTTCACCTGTACGTGGATAGCGCTGAGAGCCCTCTTCACTCTGGGCTCTGGAGTGATCAAACTCGATGTCTCTGAAGGTTTCCACTCCAGGACGGAGCTGCTGTCGGAGCCGATGGCCGACTCTGCGTCCAGAGTCTCTGTCTGCTGCAACAGATTGTGAGAGGGCAAGGCTAGTTTGTTTGTATAGCACAAATCATAACTATATTATGATTACCAAGGGATTTAATAATAATATCCTGTATCCATAAATATTTTTTTCTGTACAGCCCAAAATAATTTAAAAAAGAATTAGAATAAAGTAATCTGTGTTTATGGACATTATAAAATCTTATGTTTATGATTAATATCCCTCACAAATCTCACTCTTCATCTGTCGCCTACACACTAGACTTTGAAGTCACTGGTTTCTTTTTGTTTAGTAACAAGAGGACAGTTTCACCTCTGACCCAAACTGCTCCTCCATGATGCTGTCCTCAGTCTGGTTGAGTCCACTCCTCTCCTCCACCTCCTCCTCCATATCCTCCTCCTCCAGACACTTGGAGCCGGTCTCATAGTCGCAGCCGCCCTGGGAGCCCCTCAGTGTGGAAAGGCCGCTGTCGGGGAAGTTCTCGGGCAGGCTGTCCTCTTCGCACTCGCTGCTGTTCCTGCGCCTCAGGCCGGGGTCACACAGCGCCAGGGCCAGGGAGTCACAGCTGGGTCTGCGCTCGTACAGAGGGTGCTCGTCCATGCGCTGGCAGAACCTGTGAAGGCATCGAGGGACATCTTCTTAACATGGTCCCAGGTCCAGACTAAAGAATTGTATAACTTAACTACCCTTTATACAGTGGTGCAGACAAGACATTGAAAATTGACTATTTATAGTCATACATAGCATTTGCCTTAGCATGTTTGCACACTTCTGTCTTTTGCACAAATCTGAGTGATTCTGACATGTAAATTTCTACTGTGTGAGATCAATAAAGTTTATCTTATCTTATCTTATCTTACAGTACATCTGCAATAACATGTATTTTGTAATAATGTAGCATGATCTGATCAGATGATTGCATTCTTACAGCTGAGATACATAACTTTCAAACCACAGAAATGTATCTAACACCATCTTGTCCCGTCCCTAGTTGCTCACAGTTTTCCGGACTGTCAGTTTTCAGTCATGTCTTTAGACCAGCTTATTCAGACAGAGGTGGGAAAAAGAAAGCATGAGTTTGCTGAAAAAGTCATATAGAGACTCAGCGGGCATGTTGTTTCATTGTATGTTCTGCATTTATTAAATACACTTTATACCGCTAAAAAGAAAATACAAGAAAATCAATAAAGATCTAATACTGTTCCCTTTGAAACCTACACTTCATGAATAAATACCACAACGTCACCTGAATAGGTAGGGATACACGTATTTATGGGTCAAATCCCATTGGTACTCACAGGCTACCCCAAAACTTCCTTCAACACTTCCCTGTCGTCTCCTTTGTTTAAGAGAGTCATAATTATACCGTACGTAATTGTTAGCTTTTATCGTAGTTTATACACTATCATTTTTTATCTCAAAATGGATTTTAAAAAATCCTTGCAAAGAATTAAAAGTGATTGGGCTTTTGACGCATTTGTTGTCACTGCATGGTAAAACAGCCTAGCATTAGCAAACAACCTAAAACTTATTATAACATTTCTGTAACATTAGATTTAAAGAATGAACTGTAGGAACCTGCTGAAACATACATTCGAGGAGTTGTTGAAAGAGAGAAATTGCCAGTACTACGTCTCCAGGGCACTTGGAACCTGACTGACATGTGTCTTATTTAAACATGTGTCAAGCCCTGTGTTTATTTGTGCAGGTAAACTTTAGGATACGCACGTGTTTGCAGAAAAGCTTTACATTGTATGACACAGTGAAATCCCTCATTCATATCACGTACGAGATTACTATGATCAGGTTCTGACTTAATCATATTAAGAGATTGAGCCGCTTTTCAGAGAAACTCAAGGCTGTACTCGGAATGGGATGGTATGAAATTTCCATGAGATTATTATAATTTGAAAATGCCACGGTATGTCATGGTATAATGTAGAAGTGTTCTTTTTATCAGGCTATTTTATGCTCCTTTTCTCTTTTACGGCCTCTACAACTGACCAGTGACACTGCAAAAATAAGCTTTGTTTAAAAAAGGGAAATTGATCATAATTTTGAGACTTCGTCGTCCAGGTCTTAGACTTGGAACAGGAGCTTCAGTGACCTGCTACCACAAAATTGTCTAGACAAATGTAGACTTTATGGTCAACTTTCACCACAATATTCATTTTTTTACATCTAGAAATGAAAATATTTCCCCCAAAAGTCAGACATTTGTACTAAAAGATATACCTCTCGATGATGGTGTTGGGAGAGGAGTAACAGATGCTTTTGCTCCTCATACTTCTGGACGGAGAACCTCCACTGCTCAACTGGAACACACATCAGAAGTATAGATCAGTGCAGAAGAATAGAGGACGGAGGAACAGACTGTGACTGGTCTTCACCTTGGAGACCCTCTCCAGAGCAGTTCTCAGCCCGTCGTTACTGTCATGTAGCTTCCTGTTGGCCGTCCTGTCACATGAGGAAGCGTGAGAAGTCATATTTGTTGTACGTTCCTCAAAATGTTTTATGTTGTTACGTTTCAAAATTAGATGTGAATTAGCAGACTATTCTAATGCTGCTTCCTCTTGAAATACTGGTATATCTGCACATTAAGTGCGAAAAAAAATAAATGATATATCAGTTCTAAAGTAATAGCTAGAAACATCCCAGGTTCACTTTAGAGATTAGAAAAGGACCAATCCAGCTATTTCAATTTAAAGTTAAAATCAACACGTGAGTCTGTGGATACTAAAAATATATATTTAATAACTATCACTGCCCGTTGTCTTCAGGCAAAAACTGAAAAGAAGGTCGACCATTGTGCCTTCTCAGAATTAGATTCTTATCTACACTCTGAGGTTATCCAAGATATTTAATGTTTCCACCATTCATAAGGGACATCCTAATTGAGATAAAAATGTTAAAAAAATCTACAAATTCTTGAAAATGATTATCAAAGGCTTTGATAATCATTTTCAAGAATTTGCAGAACTAAGACAAAAAAAAGTTAATCTAAAATGATCCAGGGACATTGCGTCTTTAGCTTAAATGTCCCTAGCAACCGTATGTATTTTCTTTATTACAGTTGAGTGCTTTCCAAGGTGGGGTGTGTGTTTCCCTGTGTTGTAAAAAGATACACTCTTACTGAAAGAGAGATCACTTTTTAATCAGACCAGTAACTTGGACTGTCTTTATTGAAACAGAAAAGTTCACAAGCAAAACAGTAACATGCTCAGGGACAACCTTCCAACTGTTTCTGATACTTCTGGAGCGTGGTCACTTACTGCAGAATCTCAATCTGGCTCTCTAGAATGTCCCGCTCATCTGCAAACTGCTTCATCAGCTCCTCATCTCTAGGACACAGAACCAGGACAGAAATGATCACTTCATTCTGCACAGGCATCACAGAGAATTACACCTTCATGAATTCATCAATAGAATATACTTTCAAGACAGACTAGCAAGTAATAGTAAAATGTAATATACCTTTGAAAAAACTGCTGAGAAAAATATAAACTAAATTTGGATTAAACCAGGAGCCAACTAAGTCTAAATCAAAAGCAGCTCTCTTGTTTTGGGACTTTTTACCAACAACCATACTCCAGACAAAGTTCAGATGGAAAAGTGAGTGAATGCTGCTCTGCCTGCAGTCTGTTGCTAGGAGACATTCCCAAAGAGGTGATTGTGTGGGACTAGGACCAGGATATCCTGTTTCATCCAGAGACAACAGCACAGGACCCACACAGACTTTGAAACTAAACACACAGCACTCTTCCACAATCACAGCACAACTCTTGTATGTATACTGGCACCTGCACAAACTGCTCTTCCACCTGAGCTGAAGGAGAATGTGCAATATCATACATTTATTCATCTTTCATCTAGTTTTCACTTTTTTAGCCAGTGAAAAAATGTGGAGACATAAAGGTGGACTGGGTTGCTTTAGACATAATAATATTGATAATCTCACCGCTCATAGTTGATGCTCTGGTCAGTGAGCTCGTTCTTCAGACAGTCCATCTCACTCCGCAGACAGGACACTTTGGTCTGGGACCGAAGCAGATCCTGCTTCAGTCGCTGGTTGTCCTGCACATGTCTCAAATATTACACAACTGTAATACTCATATAACATTGACAAACTAGTTCAAAGGTCACGCACCAGTGTCAGCTCATTGATCTTCTTCTTGAGGCCTGGACTTTCATCTTTTATCACAATGTTCTTGTACTTTTCCTCTGCCTGTTATACAAATGTTACAGTATGGAGTCAGGAAGTTTCTCATTAACATTTATCTTGAATCTATTGCATGTGGCAATGTGTGTGTTGTCGGGACCAACCATCTGCATCTTCTGGATCTTACACTGCAGCTCACAGATTTCAGTCTCAAAGCTCCGCTTCGCCTCACTCAGTGTGGCCTCAGCGCGCTTACTCTCCTAAAGCATACATCAAATCAAATTTTTGTATAGCCCTAAATCACAACATCAGTCGTCTCGGTGGACATCACAAAGATGGCAATTTACCAACAAGAGTTTTGAACATTTGAACATTGGGGGCATTTTTTTTCAACACACACACACACACACACACACACACACACACACACACACACACACACACACACACTAAACTGACAAAAAGTATTCAGACTAAACCAAGACAGAGTGTGATATCCAGGTAGCCAGAACTGTAGTGAGAAACAAGCAGCTGAGTGCCCTCAAAATGTGTGAGTGCTATTATTAACTCAACAAACACCGTCAGGTAGGCACTCTTACAAAAGCACCATCTCATTTATATCTTTTTTTGTTGAGTATTCACAGTAAATATAAAACTCATGCAACATGCAAATATGAATTATGTGATCTGATGAAGAATTGTTCTTCCCGTGTTAGTTATAGAGCAGTCTTATGACATGTGGTAGTGACTATAACTCAGGACTATTTGTTCTTTGGGAAGAGCTGTACAAACTAAAGGTACAATACCAAGCAGTGCTGAAGTGATTGGAATAATATGGTTAGAACACGCCCTGTACTCTCAACAGGGAAATGTTTCCACTGTATTTGAGCCATCTCTAAATGGGCTCCTGTGCCATTTAGGACAAAATTATTGTCTGGAGCCCTGGATAAAAGGCATGACCTTTAATGTTTGAGATAAATAAAATACAATTTAGGGTCAGATTCACTGAATGTTTGCAAACATAAAACAATATTCTGTCTCACACTTTTGGCCTAACTTTGTCCGTGCTCTATCACTTGCACACCTTATGATTAAAAAATCTGATTTTGATTCTTTTTTTTTTGCGCTATAATTATTATCAGGCAATAAGCTATCACCATAATAACTGTGTGATTGTTCTCTCAAACGTGCTCATTATTTCTAGAGCCCCTCTCTGTGTTTGCACTGAATAAACTCATTTGCATGAATAACATGCACACAATATACAGCCTGTGCACAGTGTGCCTCGTTTTACCACTATTTCAATTAAAACACCTAAAAACACAACATTAAGAAAAAACATGCTAAATAGTTTTGTAAAAGACCAAGTTCTGACCTGTTCTCTGGCCTTCTTTTCGGCAGCATGAATGCGGTGGTCCATCTCCTCCTCCATCTCACTCAGCTGCATTGTGGCCTGGTCCTGCGCTCTGAAGACAACAGGGATTTAAGGACATTGCTTGTTTTGTTCATCTAAATGGAACCATTCACAAAGATTATTAGAAGTAAGTCTAGTTACAAAGGGCAACAAAGATATCCATAATTCCATCTGGTTGAGCAGAAGGCATGAATTCACTAAGAAGTGAATCATAGTTTTTATGTGGAATTGTGGGACAACATTTCAAAATGACCACTATTAAAGTAACACATCTTGTAATAACCTTTGCCAAATTATTACAATTAAAATGACATTTCTTGTGAGATCTAGAACAGTATTCCACATTGAGGTTGTGAAGATGGGGTCAGCAGAAGTTGTGAGTGCTCGGAGTTGGATTTGTTCAGATGACGTCAGGCGTCAGAGCAAACATGATAAAGAGCTGCACTGTTGTGTTAAAACAGCTCAATTACAGTCGAAGCTCAAATCTCATTGGTCACAGATGCTGCTGGTTTCCACAGACACAGACTGAGGAAGGTTTGTGAAAGGGCTGGCACACTTTGTCCAGGGCCAAAAACTTGGTCAAAATGGTTAATAATTTGGAAGATATTGTTCCGTCTTTTCCGTCAGCAAAACCAAAGTTAAAGTTACATTTTCTTTTTTAGGTTTGTTGCAAAGTGATAGAATTTTACAATCCCAAATAAAAAGAGTATGCTCTAAATGATGTTGTTCTTCACAGTTTGACCCTGAATGCTTTAGGAAACAACAGCAATAAACTCGAGAATGGACTTTGTTGGTATATATTTCTGTATTTTTATCTTACTCATCTCAGGTCACTCATCTATATATATATAGATTTTTCTGAAAGACTGATATTGAAGCATTTACAGCTAGCTACTTATTTTGTACATTTTGTGTGTGCTCCCTGTGTGCTCTTACTACTGTCCTGTCTGTGCGCTGCAACATTGAAATTTCCCCACTGTGGGACAAATAAAGGAACTCTTATTTTAACTAGACTATTTTTCATTATTCATTTCTTGTGACTTCTTATAGCATCTGTTAAACCAGTTTTAAATATTTTCCTGTTGTATATTTAAACTAGTTTTATCTCTGAATCTCTGAAAGACCATTGAAAAAGAAATTGTGATTAATTTAAATGTGTCTTAAGCCAAAAAGAGATTCCAATAATTACCATTATACCACAGTTAATGTCTGTGGTGTTGTGTGTGTGCCCATACCGCCTGATGGCCAGTGCCAGGTTCTCCATCTCGTTGTTGACCTGTCTGATCTCTTTGGTGAAGTTCACGAGGACTTTCTCAAACTGTGGGATGAGTCGTGGCTCTGTCAGACTCAGGTTTTGATAAAGCAGCGCCGCCTGGTTCATCCTGCAACAAACACGTGGTCAGAATAAGTTGTCCACACAAAATGGCGTTGTCCGAGAAATCCTTCAAGTAGTATTTGTTTCACCATAATTTTTTATTCATTCAGATTATTTCTACTGGAGAGGAGACATCAACCGATGGTGAAATCTTGGATTCAGGAGCAGCAGTGTGGTTTTCGTCCAGGTGTAGCAGGCCAGTTTAACCCCCCGCCAGAATATACCCGGGGTTAAAGTAGCCTAGGCCAGATTACACCCCGGGGTTAAAATAGCCTAGGCCAGAATAAACCCCGGGGTGTATTCTGGCCTAGGCTATTTTAACCCCGGGGTGTAAACTGGCCAGGGGGTTTAAAACGGCCTGTTACACCGGACCGTTGTGGTGAAGAGGGAGCTGAGCTGGTCATGAGCTTTGGGTAATGACCGAAAGAACAAGATCGCGGATACAAGCGGTCAAAATGAGCTTCCTCTGCAGAGTGGCTGGGCGCTCCCTTAATAGATACGGTTAGGAGCTCAGTCACACGAGAGGAGCTCGTTATAAATAAAATATATAATGCATCAAATATGTTATCGTGACAGGCCTAGTTCCCAGAGGAAGTTGTCTTTGCCATATGCTTATTCATTGCGGGATTTTGACACAATTTTGATGCGTCCTGCTTATAGCTTTGCTGTATTGGCAAAGATATTACAAGAGCCTTTGAAACTGTGAATAATGTTGTTAGGTTTGGTTTGAGCGCAGACAGAACTCTTGGTCATTAAAAGCAGAGAGGGCTTCATGCTCCTCTCAGCTGACTGCTCAGTGCTGTGCTGTTGAAACGGGCATCAGTGTTCAGGACAGGAGCACTGTGACAATCAATGATCCAGCAGCAGAGAGCCGCCACGTGGGATCCATCTTATGAGAAGCCCCCAGAGCAAATGTGTTCTCAAACGTCTCCTGCACCGTATAAACAAGGGATGCAAATAGACATTGGGGAAAAGTAGGATATTGTTCTCATTGTGCACATAGTGAACAACTTCAAAGAGCGATTACATGTGAAAAAGGACTAAAACGGACTCAGAGTGACTTGAATCACTCAGAGTCTAGTGGATACAAGAATACTAGGGCTTGAACAAGCTGATCACATCCAATTATTTAAATATTTTTTTGCTTTCTTTAGTAATCGACTAATTGTTTTTTCATCTACATAGACTTAAAGCTGGTAGATTATATTATATATACGAGCATCCCTTGAGCTTAGTTTTTCGGTCAAATGTACATGTGAAACTCATGTGGAACTCAAAGTACATTTAATTCTGTAATTTGGCATAAAAAGTGAAACATATATATGCTATAGACTCATTACATTTTATACATTTTCTGTGTAAACCATGACTTTATAGCTGCAAGTTAAAGCAGCAGTATATAAAAATCTGTCCAAAAGTGGTACTGCAACCTCTCCCACTCTCCATGTCAAGAGCTTTGAATCCTTGTTTTATTCCTTGTTTTGTAATTAATGATTTGAGAATCATAACAGGACATTTTTTTGTTCTGCAGCCACATGTTACTTTACCAATGAGATTCGCTGGACGCGGTGAGTTCTGGCAACCCGGATCACAGACTTTCTGACTGGTAAAACGGTGGAGGGCGGGACATCAAAATGAAAACAATGACAAGATTTAGAGGCTGTAAAACTAATTTTGAAATTGAAATATCTCGGCTGAATTACTGTTATCAATTAAAGAAGTATTCGAAAAGAGAATGGTTTATTAATGCCTTTTGACGGAGAATGACTTGACATGCAAATATTTTTTTTTCTTTCCATATTGCTACTTTAAATGTGGCCAAATATTCCTTGAATTTGTTTATTTATATGATTAGTGTTTATCGCATTCATTTTCTGAAGATATATTTTGTCATTTGCCAAAAACTCAAAGTCTGGCTTTGAGACTGGCTGCCTCTCTGGCGATGTTCAAATCCAGGTTAAAGACTTTTCTTTTTGCTTGTGCATACAACTGAAGAAGAATTTTCTCTTTTTAAACGCACCGTGTTATTTATTATTGTAATCTTTTGTGTGATTTTAAAGGTTTTAATTACCTGTGTGATTTTAATTGTAATTTTAATGGTGATTTTGCCTTTGTTTATGTGATGATTTGTGCCTTGTGTGGTGTGGACTGTGAGACGCTTTGTGTTACCCTGTGTAGGAAAAGCGCTCTATAAATAAAGATTGATTGATTGAAAGTGCAATTCCAATCGTGATCGATCCACCTTGTTTATAAATGTCTGCTTCGCACATGCTCTGTAGTAAAGATCTTGATTGGTTGATTGATTGGCAATATTATTAAAATGTTGATGCTTCACAGTATGGGATTTAACTTTTATTTGATTACAGAGGATACACATTATTTACTTTACAAATCCACCTATCAGTTCTATTTACCGTTCTTACTTTTATGAAGGTATTCTTGATTGTCTCTCTGAAATGTGACCCATCCTTGTTTGGTAAAAGCGACCGCTCACAGCAAAGTGCGTATAGTGTAATATTTCCTATCTCTATCTCTGGACAAGAATGGATCAGATACGCCAACAAGAATATACAAAAGGGCACACCCTTCTGACACTGAACTACTCACCTCAACAAACAATTATTAACTTCCGCTCTCAAATGTCTAAAATGTGAAAGAAATATTAATTTCAGGGATGTTACAAGTAAATCGATTAATAATAACTATTTTAATCTTGAAATAGTTAACTAATTATTTAATTCACCAATTGTTTTTGGTTTTTTTGCCTTCCATAGACATAAACCTGCTGAGAAAAGGTTATGACAGATGATTCTAGAATTACTGCAGAATTTAGAGAAAATGTGTTTACAAAGTGTATATAGTAATCAAACACCTGAAAATCTAAATGAAGATGTTCTTCAGGAGCATCCCAGGTTTGTTTTATTCAATTATATACAAAATCCCATTTTCACTTTTAGGATCTAAACAACTAATGGATTAACTGAAAGAATAATCGGCCTAATGATTGATTATCAAAAAGATGGTTAATACAGCTCGACTTGCTTTAAAAATATCCCTTGCTCGTTCTAGAAATCAACAAAGATGCAAGACAATAAGACATTTCAGCTGTTCACAGAGTAAAATATCTTTATGCGGAGATGAACCAACTGCTCTCAGACTGTGAGTGACAGTTTAGAAAAAGGTGACTGGTTTGTGCTTACCATTTCTAACCATTTATATTGACAAAATCAGTTGCTGTGTTATTTTTTTCTTGTGGTAAACTAAAACTTTACAGTAAAGGTTCACAGCCGTATTTCTCAGCCAGTGGCTCTCAAACTTGTCACACAAAGCAGGGAAAAAGTGTAAATGAATGACTCCACTCAGATGCAACATAGGTCTGTATACATAACATCTATAATAGTGAATGAGATTAATTGGAAAGAGACTGTATTTAACTGTAGAAGACCTCGTGTACCACCAGAAAGACCTCAAGCATCAGTTCCCATTTCAGCACTGATGAACATGTTTATCAGGACTATTCCAAATCAATGAGCTCTTTCAAGAGTAAACTTGCTTGAATGTTCTTTTCTTTATACTTTTAGATGTGTCTTGTTTATATGTCTTGTCATGATTTGTTTCTTGCTTCTTTGCCACACTTAGATATATGCTACATACGTATATGTCCTTTCTTATCTATATTTAGTATTTGCATTTATTATTAAAAACCTCTGCATTCATTGGATTGCAAGCTAGTTTTTATATGAATGTTTTTGATGGATGGATGAACTGTACAGTGCATTTACAGCAGTGGATAACAACCTGTGACTCGGGTTTACCAGTGGACGTATTCACTCTCTTTACAGTAGCCTTGATCCCCAAATTGTATTTATTTATGTATTTGACAGGGACAGTACAAAAAAAAACATTGTCACCCACAAGTAACCGATGTCAAGTACACAGGGCTTGTAAATAACACATGCAGGTTTAATCAAATGTGATTGTTAACGTGTCTATTATAGGTGTATCTAACTTTTAAATCACACAAAAAAGAACTAGTTACATTTTAAATGAGCTTATTCAGGCAGAAATATGCAGACATATACAAAATATACAAATGTTCTGGTAGGATGAAGACAGCATGTTTTGGTCTGATTTGTTCCACAACATTTTACTTTTTATAGTTCAACATTATTTATTTATTCATGAAGTTAAACAATTAAGAAACCCAGCTTTAAGGTTTGCCCAGTTATAAATCTAATATGTATTATCTTATAGGAACCCACTAAACGTGTAAGCAGTCACATGTATTTTTATTGAGTGAAAGTATCTGTGATTATTTATGTGTGCCTTGTTTCTATGTTGTTTTGAGTTGCCTTGTATGAATTATGTCTACAGATAAACTTCCCTTGCCTTGCCTATCTCTGTGATGGAATTTGGTTGTGTGTCACTGTTTTCCAGTCTTTTCAAGTCTCATCAGAGCCTTTTTAGCGGATATAAATGGACGCATATTGCACCATCTGGCATCGCATTCCCATGTCCCACTCTCCCATCTCTCACCTGGGGATGAACTTGGCCTGATCTCCGAGCCTGCTCTCGAACCCATCCCAGGCGGAGCAGCCATCTCCGGGATCCTCCTCGTCCATGTCCGCCCCGTAGCGCTGCTGGAAGCCGCTCACAAACTCCTGCAGGGTCACGCTTCCGTCCCCGTCCGCGTCCAGGCTCTCAAAGATCCGCTGGGCCTCGGCTTTGGACACCTGTAGCTCCGTGCAAATGGTCACAAACTCGCTCCTCTCGATCCGCCCAGACTTGTCCACGTCGTATGCGTGGAACAGCGTGCGCAGGCGGGCATGCTCCTCCGCGCTCATGCCCCTGGGGGAATGGATGGATGTAGGAGGGGTACAGACAAAACAGCAACAGTATAGACCTAAACAAGCTGCTTTGGAAGGTTTGACAATAAAACAAGATCAAATTCAGTTGTGATGTACGTCCGAGTTGATCGTTTAAAAATATGAATCAAAAACAACAGCTTTTTATCGCATACATTATATCCATAGTGAAAGGCGAATACTCCATGTGCACCTGACTCAAAGTTTTCAAATGGCTGATATGTGTCTGAGGTAAAAGTAAACACAAGAGAGGAAAAAAAAATAAAATAGTCCTCTTGTACGTAAACGCCTCACCTGTCTCTGAGTAAACGCCCCACTCCCATTTGTTCAACATAAGCAGACAGCTGACATATGGTTAGTAGGTTATAAAAACATCCCCGGGATATTCACTAAGAAGAGATATGACTTGAGAAAAGCTTGTGTTTATTTAACATGATGTGGCACAGTTTGTGAGACTAGGCTCATGGAATAATGATGTCTTCAAACTTATTGTAAATACTGTACACCTGTTTGGATGTGAATTAATTTGTTTTTTTTTTCTAGCATTTTCTTTTTAGATTCATATATAGTTTGTTGTGATGTGTGTAATTATTTGGATATATTATAAAGTGAAGGAACCATGAAGTGTCTTGGCTTCACATGAGGTCAGGGACGCACACAACTATATCATTGACAAGCTGGCTTAAAGTAGCAATACGTAAGATTTTCATGTTAAGTCATCATTAATTGAATGGCCGTAATATGTCAAAATGCATTAATAAACCATGGTCTTTTGAAATACTTCCGAGATATTTGAATTTCAAAATTAGTTTCACAGCTAATTACACTGGTAAAGTAACATGTGGCCACAGAACTCAAAAAAGGTCGAATCAGGCTCAAATCAATATTGAAAAAACAAGGACTAAAACAAGGACTAAAACCAGAATGTCTATGTTTGTGAAAACGATGTTGGTTAATGATTTGTTGTTTACAAAACTCTTTATTCAGATGGTCCCAGCTGGATTTGTCTGCATATTTTGCAACCTGAGTCAGGGAGAGTGCAGTACCACTTTTAGCCAGATTTTTTATATACTGCTCCTTTAATATTTAATTTCACGCTGTTTTGAAACACATCTTTTCCTTAAGCCAGAGGATAAAATCTCTATCTGTATGGGGAAGATATGCAGCCCGCGGAAATTCAATTTGGTAGACGTCAGCCAAAGTTACCCCCTCCAGGCCGGTTCACATCCCCAGCCTATCGCACAGCAAACGCCCCCTTCCAATCACCGTACCGGCCAGGCAGCCGCTTAAAAGCGGAGAAACTCCCACTCTCTGCCTTCTCGAAGCCTTGCAAAGAATCGTTCTGGAGGAATCGCTTTTGTCTACTCACGCTTACTCCTGCGGTCCCCGCTGTCCTCTGTCTTGCTGCGTGTAGTCTGCTCCTCCTCCGCGTCGCTGCACCTGCTGCGGGTCTCGTGCTGTGGTCCGTGGGTCTTTGCCGCTCTCCTCCTTTGCGGGCTCTTTCTGCGGGTTCGCCGCTGCTCGTCTCGTCGCGGCCTGCTGCTGCATACGGCCGGTCTGGACCGGTGCGGTGGGAGCCGTGCGCATCCCTGCCTCCTCGTGCCGGTACGGTGTGGTCCCGTTGTGTTGTCCCTTGTCTTCTGGCGTTGTGGGAAAGTATGTTGACCTGCGGACGGTTTATTCCCCTCGCATTGTACTGCAGGCTCAGTTGGCCCCGTGCATTGGTGGGCAAGCTTCAGTTTAAAGCCCTCGCATTGGTCTGCAGGCTCTCTTTAACCAAGCTCCGTTTAAATCCTTCACTCTGACTGCAAGCTCCGTTTATTCCTCACATCGGACTGCAAGATCTCAGTTTAATCCCACACATTGGACTGCGTGCTCTCAGTTTTAATCCCTCACTTTGGCCTGCAGGCTCTCTTTAAATCCCTCTCTGGACTGCGAGCTCTGTTTAAATCCCTCTCTTCGGACTGCAAGCCCCGTTTAAATCCCTCTTGGACTGGGAGCCCCAAATTGAATCCCTCACATTGGACTGCGAGCTCTCAGGTTAATCCCTCACGGAACTGCTTATATATGGAACTGCTATATATGGAACTGCTATATATGGAACTGCTATATATGGAACTGCTTATATATGGAACGGCTTATATACGGAACGGCTATATATATGGAACTGCTCATATTGGAACTGCATATATGGTACCGCTTATATCTGGAACGCTTATATATATAAATAAATATAAATATAAATAAATATAAATATAAATGAAAATAAAAAAAACTGCAGGCTCTGTTGGATCCCTCACACTGGACCGTAAGCTTTCAGTTTAAACTCCTCACTTGGACTGCGGGCTCAGTTAATCCCTCACTCGGACCGTAAAACCTGTTTAAATCCCTCACACTGGACTGCAGCTCTCGGTTTAATCCCTCACTTGGACTACAAGCTCTCAGTTATAAATCCCTCTTTTAGGACTGCGGGCAATGTTGAATCCCTCACTCTGGACTACAAGCTCTCAGTTTAATCCCTCACCTCGGACTACAGGTCGTTTAACTCCCTCACACCGGACTGCAGGCTCTCCGTTAGACGCCTCACTTGGACTGCGGGCTCAGTTTTATTACCTCACTTTGGACTGCAAGCTCTATTAAATCCCTCACATTAGACTGCAAGCTCTGTTTAGGTCCCTCGGCGTCTCGTGTCCCGCAACCTCTTCCCGGCTCTCCGTGAGCCCCAAGTCGGCACGCGGCTCGGGCGCGGGAGGTGTCCGTGGGCTACGTCATTGGCCCCTTCTCTCCGTCTCGCTCTAACCCGATGGGCATCGCCACCCGCAAGCACTCCAGGAAGAAGCGTCTCATACTCGTCCTCTCCTGTCCCCGCTCCGGGCCCGCCCGAGCATCAACAGCCCCTTCCCTCCAGCGCCCTTCTCCCTGCAGTCCGCTACCGTGGACCACGCGATCAGGCTGATAAAGACTTTTGGCCCCAGCTCCTGGCTCTCCAAGGCCGTCATCCCGGACGCGTTCAAGCTGCTGCCTTCCACCCCGACCACTGGCGCTGTTCAGGGGTCAAGTGGCGTCGGAGTTCTTCTTCGCAGTGCGCCTCACCTTTGACTGCCGGAGTAGTCCCTCTCGTTCAACAATCTCTCGGAGGCGCCGTGTCGGATTCTGCTTAATTACGCGCGGCTCCCCTCTGTCCCGCATCTCCCCGATGATTCCCTCGTAGTCAACCCACCCTCAGACTGCTCCGGGGGCTCTCTCCGCAAGCTCAGGCCCGCCTTCTCTGCCCTCGGATTCCTTCACTCCGGAAAGACCACAGGCCCCGCCAACGCTCTGGAGTTTCTCGGCATCCGCCTCGACACACGCGCCATGGAGGCCTCCCTCCCGCTGGACAAGCTCGAACGCATCCGCGCCTTCTCCCGGTCTGCCTTGGCCTTCCCGTCACTTCGAGGCGTCCTTGCTCTCCCTCCTCGGGCATCTTAATTGTGCCGTCCGTATCATTCCCCAAGGTCGTTCTTTTAATTCCAGACTCCTCTCCCTCGCCGGCTCCGTCTCCTCCCTCAATGACGCTGTCTGCCCGGACGCGGGGCGCCGCTCCGACCTGGCGTTCCGGTCCCGTCTTTTTTTTTTTTACAGTGACGTCATCCTGTCTCAGATGCCCCGCGGTTCTTCACGGACGCAGCCCCGTCCGTGGGTTTTGGGGGTTTCCCAGGACCAGTGGTTCGCCGGGCCCCGGCCCGACGCTTTCCCTCGAAGCATCTCCTCCGCGCTCCACGAGATATATCCCGTGACCGTAGCCTGCGTGCTGCGGAACCATACGTGGCATAGGAAAAAGATTTCCGTGACGTGCGACAACCTCGACGTCATTGAAATAATTAACAGAGGTCGTTCATCCTCTCCCCAAATCACATCCTCCTTAGACGCATCACATGGCTCTCAGTCCTGAACAATTTATCATCACTGTTCATCACGTCCCTCGTCACCTAACTGTCTTGCTGACTCTCTCTCTCGCTTTAAATTCCAGGAGTTCTGACGCCTTTGCCCTTCTGCCAATCCATCGCCATGCCAGATCCCCCGCACGGAATCCCTCGCCCTGGTCTAGTCCCTCCGTCTCTTCACCTTCTCTCCTCCGCTGCATCCTACATGAAAATGGGCTTCTTACGCATAAGCGAATTCACAAACTCTCACGCCACCTTTAATGCATCCCGAGACATTGCCTCTCTGACCTGTCATATTATCCCGACTACTTCAACCTCCACCTCAAGCATTCCAAACGCAAAGGCGCTTGCAATATAGTCATAGCTCGGTCTGCCACTTCTCCCTGTCCCTACAGATCCATGATTCATTACACTCGCCTCCGCTCTCGGAAAGGAGATCTCAACGGACCGTTATTTCTTACCCCCGATAACCTCCCGATGTCCTCCAACTGGTTCAGAGCCCAACTCAAGTCCGTACTGCTGCTTTGTAACCTGTCTCCCCATCTCTACACAGCCCACTCCTTCCGGATAGGCGCCGCCACGCGCGCCGCGTCCCTGGGGCTCCCCCATTCCGCCCTCCAGCAGCTGGGCCGCTGGTCATCATCGGCCCTCTCCTCATACATCAGGCCTGACACTTCGACCATTCTGGCAGCCCAGCGGCTTTTGGCATCTCCATAAAACACTCGCTAAACTTCCTGGTGGCGGCAGCAGCTGAGTATCCGCAAGTGATGGTCACAGTAGATAGCGGTCACAGTATATAGTGATAGCGGTCACAGTATATAGCGATAGCGGTCACAGTATATAGCGATAGCGGTCACAGTATATAGCGATAGCGGTCACAGTATATAGCGATAGCGGTCACAGTATATAGCAAAAAATGGTTAGCGCATGATGGTCGTCAGCATATAGCGATAGCGGTCACAGTATATAGCGATAGCGGTCACAGTATATAGCGATAGCGGTCACAGCATAGAGCAGTCTCGACGTTCTGTCCCCTCCAAACCAGGCGGCAAAACTCCATCAACTCACAGCCTTTTGGGGATTGGCGCGCTCCATTGCAGGAGCCTCTCCGATCTGAAGGCCGCACCGGGGCCTAGGGCGCCAAACCTCTTCCCAATAAAATACTCAAAAGCTTCTTGTTTTCTCGTCTCTCCAAATTGAAATGCAGCCCGCGGAAATTCAATTTGGTAGACGTCAGCCAAAGTTACCCCCTCCAGGCCGGTTCACATCCCCAGCCTATCGCACAGCAAACGCCCCCTTCCAATCACCGTACCAGCCAGGCAGCCGCTTAAAAGCGGAGAAACTCCCACTCTCTGCCTTCTCGAAGCCTTGCAACCACCGCCTCCCCTCCTCCTCCTCTTCACCCTGCCTCCAATCTGCCTTCAATCTGCTTCCCGCTGCCAAATGCCGCCACCAGTGCCTAGGTCCCGGGGGATTGGCGCGCTCCATCGCAGGAGCCTCTCCGATCTGAAGGCCGCACCGGGGCCTAGGGCGCCAAACCTCCTCCCAATAAAATACTCAAAAGCTTCTTGTTTTCTCGTCTCTCCAAATTGAAATGTCAATTATGTCTTGGTATTATTCCTTTCTTGGTGTAGGACAGACATTTTTAATATAATAGTCTTATATCAGTCAAGTTATATAAATCAAATTCACAGACATTGATTATAAATTCGTAACAAATGCATCAAATGGATATGTTGTGACTATTGTTGTGGTTACTGTTCTCTACTGTACCTATGTCATATCTGCTGCTCATGTACAGCCATTTAAAATTCAAACACAATTTTGTGTAAAATATCATCATGCATTGTACTTGCCAGTAAACAGTGATTGTCCTGCACCCAAAGAGACGTCATGTTATTCTCACACATAGCATCTGACCTGGGGCAGACTGACGGAAGTGAGGCAACTAATTTGTGTAACTGGTCCACAGGAGTTTAGCACTTTACACTCTGTTGCCACCCAACTCTGGCACCTGGTGTTCACAGAGATCAAAGTACTCTCTGGACATTTTCAAATCACAAACCTTTTTTGTTGGCTTATTCTTTTTAACATTTTGATGTATTTTATGTTTAATATTGTGTGTAATTTTATCTATCTTGGGTGTCTTGAAAGGTTCCATAATAAAATGTATTATTACTATTATTACTAACCATGTTTTGCCTTGCTCAGCTTCTTAGGTCTGATGACATCACCCTTTAACATGTAGATGTATTTTTTATTTTTAACAATGGTTTAGTTTTTAATTAGAGACTTGTTGTATGGGCTTAAACATTAAATGAATTATCTTGAAAATTAATGGTGAAAGAATCTTTTCTAAACAACATTGAACAACACATTGAGCAAAGAATATATATCATATAGTTTGATAATGTTGCTAAATGAAACCTGATAATGATCGTGTCCATCTTGTCCTCAGCTGCTGCTAAATCAGGTTCTGGTTCAGGATCTGCTTCTCCCCGGTCTCCTTGTTTCTCGAACCCTCTGAGAAACTCCTCTAATGTGACACTTCCATCTCCGTCTATGTCCAGGCGCTCAAATATTCTGTCCCCTTCTGCAGTGGAGATGCAGAGCTCCTGACAAATGGCCAAAAACTCTCTCCTCTCGATTTCCCCGGAATCGTCCAAGTCGTAGGCATAGAACAGCGAGCGCAGGTATGTCCTGTTGTCATTGTCCTTTTTATTGAATTTGGAGGGATTTTTAGTTTCTGCATCCATATTCAGATGTGAGGACATAGTGACTGACATAAACTAAATTAATATTTTTGTAGTGTTATTCTTTTTCAAAAGTAGGTCACAACAAAATTTGACATATTCAATTGGGTCTTCAAAGTCCAATAGAAGACTGTGCCAAATGTTCTCCTTTAATCCCTTAAATATCTCACCCTTCCTCCTTAATGCTACACTGCAAAAAAAATCAAGGAATGAAGTAAGCCATGAATTGACCCATCTACTCATGGGTTAATTAATTCATAGTTGTAATCACCTAGAAGTACTATTTAAGTTTTATCTATCGAACACCTTCTCTTCTCTTCTTCTTGGATCCTGGGATTTGTATCAGTTATTTCAATGGGACATGGCGCCGATCACCTTTCCACAGCGTCTGAAATACATGTCCAAGCCACATCAGCTGGCTCCTCTCGACCAGAGAGAACAGCGGCTCTCCTCTGAGCTCCTCCGTGTGATTTTGTGTAAATGTAATTCTTATTTAAAGCAACTTACATCAAGATATTCAAATGTGCCACTTCTTTTTTTTACAGTGGAGACCATGTGGAAAAGCACTCACCCAAAACTGTTACAAATGCTGTTAAACTCATGATTCTTCAAAAGTGAAAGCCCACCGCAGGCGCCAGAACTTGTTAATTTAATTTGTCCACCTTCTAAAACAATTTTATAACTTGTGGTTCTTACTTATAATACTCTAATACACAATAGTACAAAATTATAACACAATAGTAACATTTTGACCAGTTGGGTTTTTCATTAGTATTTGGTTTTACACGCTCAGGATATTTAAAGGGAAACAGTATGTGCCTTTAAATATCACACAAAACTTCAACTCTATTTGTCTAGCAGTTTGTAAACCTGATGTATTAGCACAACTTAGATTTTAATCCTACACTTTGAACCTGACTGAGTGGTTATCCAAACTGGACTGTGATCCATGCTTCAATCTGAACAGAACAGAACTAAGACAAGAAGTAAGTAAGATTTAATTATACAGCGCCTTTCACAAACCAAGGCCACAAAGCGCTTCACAGTAAAAACAGGTAAAATAAATAAATTAAATAAACAAAAAAGTAAATATTAAACAATACACACACACACGGAAGCCCCCCCTCTCCCCATATTTTTTTTGTTTTGTTTTGTTTTGTTTAAATAAAAAGAAATACAATGGCCAAGACAACTCAGTGATAGGTTTAAAACAGCCGCAATAAAATGATGTGAAAGCTTGCCCAACACAACAGATCTGCTGACTCAGACCCGACTTGATTAGCTGGAACACTGAAGCCCAGATAAGTCGGAAGAGAACCACTGAAGAACTGACCCTGACAGCCCTGCTTCATGCCTCAGTCTTCTCTGCAGGATCTGGAGGTTCACAAAGGACAGATCTGTGAGAACAAGAGTGCACTTTCAGCATCATGAGGTCACAGAACTACAAGAACAATACTTTTGGTGAGGGTGGCACAGTGTAACATTATTGTTGAATATTGGGAGCAGGAATACATTTTTTCAGAACATTCACAATCATTACGTTGTATCAGTGAAGACATTAAACACACAAACATCTCTTTGTTGTAGCCATCCATTTTTTTAAAACACGAAATGCATTCCTTATGTATACAAATGAAATATACTTATCTAAGGCTGTTGAGCTATGATTAAACTGGTAATGTTGGTGAGGATTAGTTTTCAATATCTTTCAAATTTTACACTTTCCTTGCAATACTTGTTTTATCCAACAGAGAGCAGCCTTTCCCCAAATACGAGAGAGTCTTCCACTCAGGGCTGGGAGTTACAGTCCCAGTTACTTTTTAATATTCATTAAAGTAATTATTTCTTGAAGTGACTCAGTAGTATAACTTCTTACATAAGTGAAAATGTGTATTAAATGACTAATATATATGAGTAATCAAAGTTACTGGAGTTACATGCCGGTGTTACTGCACATTTACTTAGTTTTCTCACTGTTTGAATGAGAATACAATGTCAAACGAAGCGGACTTTGTATTTTTGTTTTCCCGTTTGTATACACCTGCAAGTTTGAAATAAATGGATAAATGACATGTCAAGTAACCAAGTTGATTATAGTTAATATAACTTGTGGGTAATAAAAAAGAACATATGTATTTGGGGAAAAAAAAAAAAATCCGTGATGTGATATCCATTTTAAAACAAATTGTCCAAAAGTAACTGAAACTAACTACATAGTGTTTTTGTGTACATTTTAAAATAGTATTACTGTCACACAAATATGATTTATTTATTATTTATTTATTATTATATCTTTCTCATAACAAGTAATAGGCAAGGCAAGGCAAGGCAAGGCAAGTTTATTTGTATAGCACAATTCATACACAAGGCAACTCAAAGTGCTGAACAAAACAAGAAAGCATTAAAATCATAAGTAATCAAAGTACATTAAAAAAACAATTCTATCCGTGTGAATCGGTGGTATAGTGGTCTAAGCTGGGCGCTAACGATGCAGTAACCCGGGTTCGATCCCGGGCTATGTATTTTTGTATTTATTGCATGTTATCACATTCTATGACAGATTGCTCTAAAAACGGTAAAAGATGAAGGTCAAGACGTTTTTTTTGCAGATTATAGCTTAATTGTAAAAATAATCATTTAAGACCACATGTACCCCAATTAAAATAATGTTAGTCTCTTTTTGATGTGGGACTTTTACATGTTTGTCTAAAAAATAGGGAATAAATAAAATTGAAAGGTGATATCCTCTTGAGCAAACCCTGATGTCGATACGCTGAAGAAATACGTTCCAACATCCATTCTTCCCACTCCTATTTTGGACATCAATTGCTTATTTATTTTGCATAAACTATTTATAATTACATTGCTTTTATTTTGTTTTTGTTTTTTATCTCAAATGTCCAAATAATAATAATAAAAAAACATTAATCAAAACATTCATTCAGCATTAGCACGGCTGTCATGGCAATGTGAATGGAGACGGACAAACAACTGATAAAATAATTCCCTGTGTTTGCTGCTGTATTTGGTGTGAATCTGGCAACCTGAGTCAAGGAGAGTGGGAGAGGACTACAAAATATTGACTGTGACTGCAGTACCACTTTTGGCCAGATTTTTACATATTGCTCCTTTAAACAGAATCGTCTTTAACCTGGTTTTAAACATTGTCAGAGAGGAGGCCTGTCTCACATCTTCAAGAAGATTGTTCCAGATTTTAGCAGCATGAATCTGAAAAGCAGCCTCCCCATGTTTAGTTCTGACTCTGGGCACTAACAGGAGTCCAGTCCCTGTGCTCCTCAGAGTCCGGGCTGGTTCATATGGGACTAACATGTCACTAATATATTTTGGTGCGAGGCCATGGAGAGATTTGTACACAAGCAGAGCTGTTTTAAAGTCTATTCTCTGAGCCACAGGAAGCCAGTGCAGAGACCTGAGGACTGGACTAATATGGTCGTACTTCCTGGTTCTAGTCAGGACTCGAGCTGCTGCATTTTGAATGTACTGCAGCTGTTTTACAGCCTGTTTGGACAGACCTGTGAGCAGGCCATTGCAGTTAACCTACTGGAGACAAATGCATGGATAAGAATCTCCAAGTCTGCTTTAGACACTATGTTTTTGATCCTGGCATTGTTTTTAGATGGTAAAAAGCTGCTGATGTTACTGATTTGATGTGGCTATTAAAATTTAAGTCTGAGTCCAGTATTACCCCTAGATTTCTGACCTTGTTTGAAGGTTTTAGGGAGAGAGACTGTAGGTGACAGATGACGCTCTCTCTTTGTTTCTGGGAACCAAAGACAATCATTTCAGTTTTGTCTGCGTTTAGCTGAAGGAAGTTGTTTTGAATCCACTCACTGATCTGTTGGATACAGTGAAGGAGTGAGTCCACTGGTCCATGTTCTCCTGCAGTCAGTGAGACATAGATCTGAGTGTCGTCTGCATAGTTGTGATAGGACACTTTGTTTCTGCGTATTAACTGACCTAATATAAATGTGTTACTTACCCAACTTTGAAAATATATACAAAGTGTCTTGCCCAAGGACACAACATTAGCATTAATTCTGCTGTTTCCCAAACCCTTAAAGGTTAAAGTTTTTGACCAGAGTATTTTTCATAAACTTCACACAGACTGTTGTCATGAGATATATTGTAAGTGATCGTCCACTGCAGATCCAGACCAGAAAGTATTAGATTAACTTTCAAATAGATATCTAACTCCAGTAAACCGTTATAGTTTTGGAATGAAAAATCATACAAAGAATTGTATAAAACTGGAGCTGAACTCTATAAATAGCTGAATGTTGAAGGAAGAGAGCGTTGTTTTCTGCATGAAGGATAGTGGGGATTAGTGCCTATTTCATAATGTGCCATAATCTGCCAGATTAGCCTGATTGAATCCATCTCAGAGAATTTTCTTTATCATCTGATTTGTCTGAACTGTAATTCTGTATAAAACTAGGAATTATTAAGATTATGTGGGTGTTTGAATGGCTCCGGACTAAATCGATGTACTACTATATAAGTCCTATTTGTCTTTACAGTGTTGTTATTATTATTTTTATCATCAAGGCAGAAATCAGAGAAAAGAGGCTCAAACTACACAATTTACCAGAATATAGTTAGCATATCTTTGAACTGACCAAAAGGTAAAACTTGTAGTACAATGTAGTTTTTACATAATTTTGCCTTTTTCATATTTTTTTTCTTTAGAAAACTGTTTTTTCTTCATTCTTTCCTTTTGTTTTCAATCTATTGTAATAACAGTTTTAATTAATTCCAGTGTTAAGATACTACAATCCCAGCTTCTCTGAAGAGGACTGGTATGAATTATGTCTTTTGGAAGTAAAGGTCTCCCAACAGCCTTTTGACCTTCTTTAGGCATGCTTCTAATTTATCACATATTGGATCGATTATAAAACATGAAAACCTTGCCAGGAGAATTACAGACACAGCGGAGATGATAGAAAAAAAATGAATTGGTTGTCATTCTGGATCCCAAGCAAATTAAAACCTGCTGTGTGAAAACGTCCTCCTGTGGACTCACCACCTGCAGAGGGTCAGTGAGGGGCTGGTGCTATGAGACTTGGGTGGCATCTCTGACTGCCACCCCCCTGACCCAGAAATGGATTAAAGGGAAGAAAATGGATGGATGGATGGATGTGTGAAAACTTGAAGTTATTGCCTAAAACATTAAGACCCCAGATGCCCCCCTCGGACTGAAGTCCAGACATGACCCTACAAGTCCATAGCCTAAAGTGTCAATGTGGTCGAGAATGTAGAGTTCCTCACAGTTGAAAGGAGAATGAACTACAACCAATCTGAGGACAGACTAATATCACCAAAACTGATCCAGGTTATTTTCTTTTGTGCCACAATCATATTCTTGGAGGAAGCAGGTAACTTTTGGGTCAAAAGTGCCATTTTGCCAGCAGAATATTTTTATTTATTTATTTATTTATTTATTTGTTTCAATATAAAAAAGCCCTCTTTCCCTGGCCTTAAAAGTGTTTGCTTCTTTATGTGTATTATGCAGCAGCTGTCATATGAGTTAAAGCTCAAATATGCACTTTTCAAACACCAGAAGCACTCAGCACAAAACCCTGCTTCTGCTGTTTATTACAAACTTGTTTTCGTCATTGATTTTGGCAACTCACCACTTCCTGCTTTCTAACAAGACCAAATGGAACTGAATTCTCAAACCTTTGTGTTATATTTCATAAAGGCCAGCTGTTTATTAGTCATCCCTATACCGATAATATTATAGATGTAATATAGATGCAACCATTTGATGAGGCTCATTTGTGAATAATCGTATCTATTCTAAGGTCAAAATATGCGTTGACCTGGTTCAACCCCACATATTGCCACAGATATAGCTGCAGATTCTACAGTCTGTCTGAACAGTATCGACATATTGAGCTGCCGGTCACTGACGAGAATACTCAATTTTGACATGTTTCACATCGAGGCCAGAAACAACAATAACAATAATTAGAACAAAAATAATAACAATTGTAAACCGCTTTGTGACTCTGGTTTGTGAAAGACGGTGTATAAATAAAGATTACTTACTTACTTACTTAACAAGCCAACTACAAAAATGTTACCTTTACAGCCTAAACTAATTTACATTTTGGAGACATATTTGTAATGACAAGAACGTTCCAAACCTGCTGCTTCCAAAAGTGCATTTTTAAGTAATTCTCCTAAACTCAGTATCCTGCTCAGTTTATGTATACTTTATATTCTTGAGCCACATCGTATTTCCAGTGCAATGAAGAAGCATGTGATCTTAGTGGTAGTATCATAATTTCATGGTCAACACAGCAGTTATGACATTATTTTTTGGGCTTAATAATAGTCGGTCATACAACAAACAATGTCAAAAACCATAATTATTTGGTTGGTCTACAATTCATGTAGAATTAATCTTATTTTATACAAAGTTGCCATGGTTTATCTGTGCTGATGCAAAACAAAATAGTCAGTTATCAAAGTTGGGGTATACGTATAACTTTGGAAGCTCAAAAATACACGGTTTCTTTATTTTTCTCTAGAAACAGTTGTGCTCTATCAGTTTTCTCATGCATGATTGTTTTGCCCGCTGTCACATCATTAGATCGGCTTTTTTCAGGCATACACGCAAAAACAACCCTCACTCAGACAATCAGACTCAAAAAATGCAAAAGATATCATGTTTTCTAAGATGAAGACAAAATACTTTTGCATGACTCTTTCTGTGAGGACAAACAACATTAAAACAAACCCAAAAAGTAGCGACGCCAGCATTATTGCAATCTAATTCGATTTGGAAATACTTATGATAATTTCACATAACAGTATAAGACTGAGACGACTGCCACAAGGTCAGAAGCTTCATCTCAGTTTAATCCAATCGACCTCTTTCCAAGTTTGGCACTGTCTTGTTCTTTCCTCCTTCTCTGTCTCCAGAATATATATATATATACACACACACGCACACGCACACGCACACACACACACACACACACACACACACACACACACACACACACACACCAAACACACAGCGCTCCACACACTTATCAAGTGATTAACTGTCAAACTGCCGCCCGGGGTCAACGCGGGTCCTCATTGATTTACACGCACAGATGGAGAGGCCCATTAGACACTAACAGCCCCCCCCCCCCCCCCCCCCCCCCCGCCCCGCCCCGCCCCGCCCCCCTGCACTGCTCTCCGTCTCCATGCCGACGCTTCATGAAGACCGATGACGAGGTCGAGGCACACCGAGCAGTCACAGGTCAGGGGTGGCATACTGGGGGCTGTATAATTTAGTTGGGGGGAGGTGTGGTTGCGCCATTTGAGTCGAGACCTAATTTGCGTCAATATCCGTATATCCGTACAGATGTGTTCAAATATTTAAAACCTCATTACTGCACGGACTGGATTGGACTCTAAAATATTTATTATTTTGTTCAGCTAATTCCAAAATATAACCTTCAAACTTGAAATAGTCATGTGGGAAAACAAAGGGGTGGGATTAAATAAGTTTATATTTCTCCCATAAAATGCGACAATGTATTATTATTATTATTACTATTGTTTTATTTTGTATTGATTTATTTATTTTGGGTGCTTTTCTTATATATTTATCTATACAATTATGTTTGAGTATCCTTTGGTTAAGTTGTATTACTCGTCATGTACAAAATTAAAATAAAAAATTTAATGAACATGAATGAAACTTGGAAATCAAATATTCAATAGACCTGGACCAATTTGAACAAACTCTCACAACAAAGGTTTTATACATTTGACATGGGATCGTAAACATCTAGAGCGTTTAATCTTGTTTCTAGTGAAATTTTCTTCAGCTGCGAAATTAGAGATGTTAAAACCCAAAATCTGGTCCACCAGCTATACCGCCTTTATATTTACCATGGAAAATTCATAGGTGGAGTTTAATCTTTCTCTGTGTCTCAGGGGCCAAAACTGGAGGGTCAGGGTCAAGCCATTTGTTAGTGCGCCAATAGGTTCTCGAGTAGATTCAGATGGAATTTATACCGTATTATGGAGGCGTTTTTCAGACAAAAGGTCAGTGGAGTAAGGGGCTAATATGTTATCAGTTGCTAACAGATGCTAACATGTACAGAATCTACAGATGCTAACATACTGCTGCTAACATGTACAGATGCTAACATATAAATAGAAAAGTTATACTTCTTAATTATGTTAAAGATAGAGATTCTATACTATTTCTTTGATGTTAAGAGTTAGAGATTGTGTTTTATTCTAATTATTAGTATAGTTATTGTTCATTTATCTTGTGCTGTGTGCTACTCATTCCCACTGTTCTGTAACTTGTGATGCAACACTGAAATTACCCCACTGTGAGACAAATAAATAATCTCTAAATCTATACTGCCTCCACTAGCCACTGCTATTTCAGGTGCAGTGACTTCTAAACTAAAGTGTTCATTTTCCAATAGTAGCAAATCATACAACCAAACAGCTTATTTAATAAAACAATAAAACAAAAAGAATATTAATTGGTCCATTGCACTGCCCTCATTATAACCAAGCTTCAAAACAGGCTCCAAGGGGGATTTTCCTCTTTCTCAAAGTTAGCTCAGGACTGAATATTGTATCATCAAACTCCATCTTACAAAAACTCCATGAGAAAATGAAGAGTAAATTAACTTTCACTTTCATAGCAAACTCCCCCTCCATATACGACCTGAGGGGACTTACAGTATCACGCAAACTCGACCGTCACCTAACAGACTTGGAGTTGCTTTGAGATTCATCAAGGCTAACATAAGGAACTTCTGTAACAAACATGTAACTCCGCCCCTTCTGTCTAAAAGCTCTCAAACCTATAACGATATGAGGTCATTGTGCCACTATGACATCACACTCAGAGCAGTTTTATGTTTTTTTTTTTTAAACAAAAGTTGCGCCTGTAATATAATGTTATCAATCTATCCGCTGAAAATATACAATTGCATGACTGTATTTGTGGATGAATTTTTTGGAATAAAAAAAGCTAATACAAATTCAATCCTCCCTCTGGTGGCAGCATAGGGAGTTACAGGCAGAAAGAATTTACCCCTAATACTTGATGTTAATATTTTACATTCTTAAACATGAAATGGCATGTAAAATAGACTCATCATCATCTTTAATAGCCAAAAATAAAACACATAATATTTGCTTTTGTACCTGTTATTACACATTTATATTGTGCCCATGGTTATTGTCAAAACATGACATGTCGGAGTAATGCAAGACCTAATTGATGGAGTGAACGGCGCACAGCCATGGACCACTGCTCTGTTCTGCTGAGGTGCAGTTGGAGTGGAGGCAGATGAGGCGGAGGAGATGAATGATTCTGTCTCTTTGATGAATGTCACCTCGGGGCCCATGACACCTGCTGACAGCTCCGGGCCTTCTGATTGGCCGAGAGCAGCCCAGGTTCAGAGAGAGGCTAATGGTTCTGATGTGGACAACAAATCACGCCATGCAGACTACGCCCCCCAGCTCCAAATAGATCAGATCGAGACAATGTTGTACACTGTAAAAAAACAAGCGTCTATTTTTTCTCTTGTAATTGAAAATGTCTCCTGTTGTGCATTGGTACATTTGAGAACAATCTAATCGCTACCAGTTGTAGTTGTGTCTCTCAAGCATTGCATGTCATCCTGTTTGGTTGATTCTGCAGAAATTCTCTCAATTGTCTCCCTTTCTTTTCAATTCCTGAGTTGCCATGTTTCTACGACTTCTTTCCAATGGATTGATAAAAGTTAAATAAAAATAATACAATCTAATGAGACAGCAACTTATCTACAATATGGAAAGAGAGAATAATATTTAAATCACTTTAAAAAACTAGTCGGTAATTGCCTTAAACCTTGCCTAATGACCTATAAGATATTTTTGCAGAGTGTTTTGTCAGATAACGCAGAGCTATCCACTCCTGTGTATGTCATCACTGGGGCCAATTAGTGTTAATGAAGTGGAAGTCCTCACCTGACATACAATGAGCTCATTTGAACCAACGCTGCACTTTTCAGGAAGCAGCAGAGTATGCAAATAGTAGAGCTATATGAGGGTTATTATTAGGGCGTATTAGCTCGCATATATGCTGTTTGTTGTTCTAACACTGCTTCAGGAGATTCAAAATAAACAATAATATAGACAAATTGTGGTCGGGGTTTCTTTATGGATACTTAAAATATTGCTATATGAAATGCAGTGTGTGCATTCGAAGCAAGTCCAGCAAAAGGTTTAAAGTTTCAATAATAGGTGTTAATGGCACCAAATTTGACCTGTTCCACAATCATTTAGATATGAATGTAGGCGAATTATAATAATTGAATCAAAATGACAAAATACAGTTGTTTTGTAGATTAACATATGGATTGGTACAAATGAGCTCCCTTGAATATAGGGTAGGGAACTCGGTCACATGGGAGGAGCTCGAAGTAGAGCCGCTGCTTCTCCATGTTCAGAGGAACCATTTGGCTTGGGCATCTGTTTCGGATGCCTCCCAGACGCCTCCCTGAGTGTACCCCGGGCATGTCCCACCAGGAGGAGAACCAGGGGAAAACCCAGGACACCTTGGAGAGACTCTCTTCTGGCCTTCTGGATGAAGTCTGTGTGGATAAGGAAGTCGTGTGGACAACTGTCTCTGCATAGACGGCTGCCCGCATGACCTTGCAACAGATAAAGTGGAAGAAAATGGAGATAGATGAAGAGTGTAACTGTTTTTGGCACAAAGGCTGAGAGGATTTGAACTATTATCTCACAACAAGAAGGTCCTTTAGGCTGGTAAAGTCAATCACCACAGTAGGAGCGGGGTTTTCCTATAAACTAATACAAATATGATACAATCAATTCCGCTCTGTCATGAAAATGAAAGAGAAAGTGATCAAAGGAAGGAATAAAGTCAAATAGGTGCCTGTAAAATGTTCGTTGATGAAATGTTTTTGTCGGAACAGAGGCGCAGGGGATGGGGGGATGGAGGTGGAGGTAGAAATGAGTGAGCTGGTAGAAGGTGAAAGATGAAACGCTCTGACCTTTGAAGCGCCGGTGTAAAAATGTAGGGACAACTTCAAAAGAGCTCCATGAAAAATACAACACAAACCTCCGCCTCGCTGCTGTCACCATCAGGAGAAATGAATCGCGCTCAGAGTTTTTTCTACCATACTTCCTCATAAAAGATGCGAGACTCCGTGAATTATCCATCCAACTCTGTGTTATTGAAATGGGGGACACATTTTAAAGTCGCTTAGCAATTAGCTTTCTAAGAGATTACACTAAACATGAAGACAACTTAATTAAAAGGATAGTTTAACACAAATAAAGTTACAGTTTGTGAAGGGAACTCATTCTAAAGTGTGGCACAATGTCCAATCAATACATTGTTATCACACTCAACTAATTAAACAGATAGACGATTGCTTTCCTTAGCATGATGTCATCAATCACCATCAGATAATACATAATAATAATAATAATAATAAGCCATGTTTATTACGAGCAAATAAGTCAAAATTGTGCATGAATAACCCTGAGTTACATTTACATAATACGAACTTATAAATATTATATACACAAGAGAAATATATACCCTTGCAAATACTCGAAAAGGAGTGGGAAGAAGGAAAAAAATAAATTATAAACCTGAAAATATTGTCAAACTGGGATGAAGTGTGTTTTAATGTATGATTAGTTACTTGCTTTCATTTGCTTCAAGCTATTTTGATGCAAATACATTCTATATTGTCTTTATGGAAGGATTTCACAAAAGCAAAACATGTGTTGCTGCACAGACCTTATCTCTTATCTTCCATTCCTTATAGATAAACAATAAAAATGGCGTTCTTCTGCTATCTTGTTTACAGCCATGTTTTGCTGTGACATTTCCATGATAAAACCCCTTTGAATGCAGATCGCCGTCTTGAATCTGTGCATCTCCTGAACTCTCGTCTGTCAGGGCACTGGGGCTTTTTATCCTGCCGCCTCCGAAGAAATATGACATTGAATCAGATGCCGCTCGACTGGGTGTGTGCGCGGCCATCTCTCCCTTCATCTCCTCTTTCATGCTTCACATCCCTCACTTAGCCTATCTCTCCCCTCCTCCCAAAGCTTCCTCGCTCGCCCGCCCATGTCCTTCCTCTTGATTTGACCATCTATCTGTCTTCTTCCTGTGCACTCTAAAATGTAGGCCTGCAAATGGTGAAATGGCTTGATATCAGCTAATGTTTATATTTATGCAAATTCATCAAATTTCAAGCTGATTATTTCACGTGTTGGCCGAACAGATCTCAAACAAGTGTTTTATATAAACTCTGTGGTGTGTGTTTTGATTTACAGACAATCAATCAATCAAATTTGATATATAAAGCGCTTTTTCATACAAAAAAAAATAACACAAAGTGCTTTACAGTTTAGTTAAAAACAATCCAAGATGCCCACCCCACAGACCCACCCAAAACAAAATGTATTAATACATTATATATCCCAATCTTGAGCAAAAAAAAACATTGTTCAGTGCACTTCCTTACGGAGCTGTGATGTGGGTGGAAATTGGGGTTCTGGAATTAAAATTTTCCATTCAAAATCCCTGTAGAAGTTATGAAAAATCCAAAGCCGGTCAGAGGATAATCCAGCTAGATACATGTCTGTAGATTTATTTATGTCAATCATGTGGTCAATACTCATCTGACAGCTGATCAGCCCTAAACAAGTTTTCAATGTTCTATAATCATTATTTAGCATTTTGTTTTCTTGAACCAGGAAGTTCTGCCCACTTCACAGTTCCATTTAGTAGCACCAGATGGATCTGTTCTCTGCACCTAGGTGGTCACATTAGCGACCCCGCTCCTCCTTCAAGCAAGTTGGCGATGCATGGATATTTTCTATTGTGAGAAAAAAAGGAATGCCTATGGCTGGAAAATGATTAGCATATCACAGATTTAGGAAAGAAAATTGGCAAACAAAGTAGGTAAAAGCAGTGGACAGTCTCCTGGTCGTGGTCAGATGAGTCTGTGATACTGTGAATGTGTAAATGACAAAGAAAAACTATGACTATGACAGTCAAAATTTGATTTTGCCATTATGTGCCTTAAATTATAGGCTGGCAGTATAGCCTTCAAGGAGAATAAATGGAGTTCAAGGTCCCATTCTAAAAATGCTTATAGATTCTTAACTATGCTGAGTGTTTATTTGTTACTGTATGATTAGTAATACATAAATGTTCTGAATTGAACTCATAATTAGAAGTTACCATTAGAATAAATGTCTTGATTTACGCTTTGAAAAAACTCCCAAAAGTGGTGTGGAAACGTAATTATATCCCCTGTATCACATCACATCATAATTGTAGTTTTAACTGCAGACGTTCACTTTTTGCAGTGTGAAGCCTATTTGTGTGTGTGTGAGATGCAGATGAGACAGTGATACATGATTCGCCGCGACTTTTTCTGTCAGAGGACATCAGATCATCTTCTCACTCGTGCACTCACAGCACCCGTACACACATGGAGGGAGAGGGGGGAGATAAGGCACTCTTTGAAGGTAGAAATGGGTTTTGGCGCCTGGCTGCTTCTGTCTTGTGGGTCATGTGACTAAATCCCACAGCCTAAACTGATAAGACAGCTCCAGTCCGAGTGCGCCTGTGTCTGCCGCTGCTTCCTGTTTGGGATATCTGGGCTCTTGCTTCGGATGCTTCCAGAGGTGGCTGAGGTAACGAGCATTCTGTCAGATGCAAAGCTGCTTTGGTGTGGATACAGTCAGATGTAACTGACTTTACTATTAGTACTTGGAGCCATAGATTGCAGGGCCTGTTTTGTTCATGTGATCTTCCAAAAATAAATACCAAAAAATTAATAAACTTAAAGATGAAACACATTGATGAGTCCTTCACTTTCCAGAACTTAGGGCTGGTGGTTCGTGCTCCTCAATAAGAAGGTCCTGGATTTAAAACCTGTGGGAACAGGGCCTTTCTCAGTGGAGTTTGCATGTTCTCCCTGTACTTTCATAGGTTTCCTCTGGGTGCTCCAGTTTCCCCTGCTACTAAAACCATTGCAATTGACCAAGGCGAGCATCAACATGTTGAGATAGATCACGGGGCGCTGCACTACAGCCACCTCTGCTCCAGGTGTAGGATGGGCCAAGTGCAGCGGACAGATGTCCCATGTGGACAATTCCCTAGTGGGTTGGTGTTTTAGATTCAATTTGCAGCATAGTTAACAAACTGAAAACGATTGATCTTTGAGTAGTATAGAAATATCCGATTTACTAAGATTGAGACTAAGGTTAAGAGATCCTATTTTGCCGCACAAAGGGGACATTTCAAAGTTATAGTACCTATTGTGATTGATTGTTCTTGATCATGGAACAAATTAATCAGTTAATCTGATAGAAGTCACGCTACACATGTAAACAAATGTGTTCTTGTGTTTGGAGGTCCCATCTGAAGATTGTGATGCATAATTGCACAATTTATGCATAATTTATGTCACTTGCCGGTGGCAAACCTGTTTGTCAGCTTTTCTCCTCTCAAGGCATGAATGTTTCAAGGGAAAATACTTTGGTATTCTCGTTTTTGAAATGAATACATTTGTACTCAGAAGTCAGCTATTTTTTTATATTTCAGTATATTTCAGTGGACAGCCAATTATAGTATGGTTTACTTTACTGTAAAATGTGTCCTCTGCATTTGACCCATCCTTCAAAGCCACAGAGCAACCTGTCAGGAGCAGAGCCAGTGCAGCAACTGGGGACCAATCTCCAGATGTTGATGGTCGGCTTGGTCAGGACCAGAGAGATACATGCAAACTCCAAAAACCTCTTTTCTGAAGAATGATACTTCATCATCTGCTGGCCTTCACATGCTTCACAGTAAGGCATTAAAGGCAATGAAATAGCATTAATAATATACAGGGAAATCATGATGTATTCATTATTTACTTAAAGTATTTTGAATTAATGGCATTATTTCTTCTGTACATGCACACATAACCCTGCAACCCTGCTCCCATCTCTGTGTGGAGTGAGAGACAAATGCCCAAAAAATAACAATTGTAAACGGCTTTGTGACTCTGGTCTGTGAAAGGCGGTATATAAATAAAGATTACTTACTTACTTACTTACTACTTACATACACTCATCAATTTCTTTCACGTCTGGCATTATGTCTGTATGTTATAATAAACCAGTGCTAAACCAAAACTAAACAAACTTTTGTATCGATCTGCACACAAACATACAGCCATGCCCGACGCCTGCTTAGAGAAGTCCTTATCCATTGTGTTTGTGTTTGAGATTGTTTTATCGGAGCGTCTCTGGTGGCGGGGCGAGGTAATTATGGACTGATAAACGGTGCTTTACACACACACGGCTACACACGGTGCTAATGAGAGAGATTTACTCTGTGAGAGAGCTTTCAAGCCATTCTGTCATTTAAAACTACCTTTTTTGGAATTATTGAAATCCTTTGGGAATGGTCCGGCCCTGGTTTAGCCCTGGTTTAGCCCTGGTTTAGCCCTGGTTTAACCACTATAGTGGATGTCTCTTAGTATTTCAACGCTATCCACATTTTAGAAGGAATATTTAATGTTTATTCTCCTGCATTCAAAGCACAAATTGCTGTCTTATCCTTTATCTTTAACAATGCAATAATGAAAAACATCAGATTCAGCAAAAATCTGTAGTTTTTTTGCACACATCATGAAGTGTAGCAATCCAAACACGGTCGTCAGCACTTTGTTGTAATATGTTTATGGTGATGTAGCATAATGTCAATTTCACCCCAGAAGACAGTGGACTTGTTCCTTTGTTTGTGTTGAATAAGAAGAAGCTATGACCATTTAAAATGCCCATTAATACAAAATTATAATATATAAGTTCACAAGTGTCATGAGTGTCATCATTGAACTTGCTAATAAACAAAAGGAAAGTCAATGTGAAGGTTCTGAATTCAGCAAATTCACTGCAGTGCTGTGTCTCTTTCTGCGTGAGCGCTCACTCTGCCTCTCATCAGTGTTTTTCTGCAGGACTTGGCGCCTCTCCAAGCCTGAAGAGCTAATTGGAATTAGAATAACATTCCTCAAAGGCCGCTCGTTTAGCGCCGCCGCTGAGTGCTAACGACAGAGAAGTGGGTAGTGAGACGAGAGAGGGAGAGAGAGGGAGGGAGAGAGGAGGAGGAGAGGAGAGGGTCCTAACGATCTGTGCTAACAATGTTTTATTCTGATTTTTAATGAGGGGTAATCACTCAGCTGGAGAGAAGCTGTGCTCAGGGGGTGCAGGGAGGAGGGGGTGCAGATGGGAGAGCTCCTACCTGAGATCCATCAGATACAGTCACTCCATCACTGCGTTCATACAAGTGCTGAGAATATGGTGCTTTACAATTTTACTCAATTCACCTTTGCTTTCCTTTTCACCTTTGCTCACAAAGCGCCTGGCCATCTTTGGCCCAGTCTATTTGGCATGATGATCGACAAGCTCTATATCGACTTCAGAGCTTCGCTCTCAAACTTAGGAGCTGTAATTGTTGGTTTTTAAACTCCACACATAGTATCACTAATATACAAATATAAAAACATGTTCTGCTAGGATGAGTCCTGCTTTGCCTCTCATTTGTGAAGTCAGTAAATACAATGAGCATTGATGCTAGACCGCCTGGATTAGTCCCAAACACTGGACAACTACAATCCTTAAATTCAAGTATCTGCCACCAACATCATTATAGGCAATTTGCAATCAATAAAACAACTGCTTTTGGCTGAGACCAATCCACTTTGGATCAATACAGTTTACTGGGGGTGGAGGAAGTACAGATGTCTGCCAATAGTCAATGGACAGACTTTTTGCCTAGAGATAGACCCAGATCTGTGGTTACTGAACATGCGCAGTAGTTCTACCTCCTATCACGTAAGAGGTTTTAACCTGGTTAAATAAAGGTCAGGAAAATAAAGATCCTTGTTACATTAAGCCACTGTCTCCATGATGCTTTCAGCCACTAGAGAAGTAGAGATTCAAAAAATAAACAATAAATCAGCCGACCTTTGTGAAGGAGCTCTGTCCGTTGAGCACGAGCTGTTTTTGTCAACATCAGTACAGTCTTTTTCATCCGGCATGGGATTATTCCTATTTTCCCTTCACCCTACCCAGTTATTAT